AAGATTAACATCTTCCTTCCGGGAATAAAGTTAAAAAAAAGGAAAAAAACGAAAAAGCCAAACGAGAGGTGAGGAGGAGGAGGGGGGGAAACAACCGAAAAAAAAGCACCATCGATCGCAAAACGAGAGAAAAAAGATAAAAAAAAAAAAAAAAGGGAAAACAAATGAAAGAAAATTAGAAAGAGAAAAGTAAAAGGGAAACTAACTAACCTTACAACCTCCCCATTGAACACTTCCTCATCCCTCCCCTCCCCTCCCTACTCGCTCCCCGAAAAAAAAGGAAACCAAGTTCAAAATGTGCAAAAGACCTAATTTGTTGTATTTTACCTCCGCAAGGGGTCAGGGTGGAGCCTAAAAAAAAAAAAACTTCCCCTAAAAACGTGGGGAAAATATTATTTTTACATTGGCGAATGAGTTTTTTTAGCTTAATATCAAAACGTTATAAAAGTCATTTTTTTTTGTTTACTTCAAATACAAGGGCGTGGACTTTAAATAATTTTATTATCATTATTATTTTTATTTTTTTCTGGAGAATAATAATAATAATAATAATAATAATTTTTTATTTAAAGTTTTTAATTTATTTTTAATTAAATAAAAAAAAAAAACATTCGATTAATTTTGACACTCGAAAATATCGAAAACGATTTTCCGCAACGGGGGGGGGGGGCGAGAGGATACGGGGAGACAAAATCCCCCATAAATCCACGATTAAATCGTAATTTACGTTTCCGGTTTTCGCGATGGTAAATACTTACTACTACCATTTCCGGTTTCTTTTTTTTTTTTAATTTCGAAATCGGGTTAATTATAAATGAGACGAAGACGTTTTTCCGATTCGGAAAATTCTACGGATTTTCACGGATAGGACTAGTAATAATAATAATAATAATAATGGATTTTTAAGGTAAAAATAAATAAAACAATAAATTAATAAATTGTATATAAAATAATTATATTCACAATACCAAAAAAAAAAAAAAAATTTTATTCAAACGACGTCGATTTTACCAATAAAAAAAATTTGGGGGGCTCCCCTCTGAGGAAAAAAATTCCGTTAGAGGAGAGGGAACCCCCGTTACAAAAAAAAATAAAGTTAATAAAAATGATAAAAATCGACATCGTTTATAATAATCAGTTTTATAATAAATCAATCAAACAATCAATAAATCGATCACGCACACACACACACACATACATTTTGCACACACTCACGCACTCATTTAAGCCCACTTTTTATCTCTCTCTATCTCTCTCTCTCTCTACGTGCCCATAAATAAAAAAAAAAAAAATAATCACATAAATGGATGGCTTTTTAATAAGACTTTTATTAACTAGTGTGGAATGACTATATTAATCACTTTTATTTATTTATTTATTTATTAAAAAATAAAACCTCGATTAATAAGTTTTTTTTCTTCTATTAAAATAATTATTATTTTAATATCATTATCATTATCATTATCATTATTATTATTATTTTAATCGAGGTTCTTTACATAAAAAACATAAAAAAATAATAAATCAAAGTAAAAAAAAGGCACATTTATTTATTTATTTAATAATTAATTAATTTTTTTCTTTTTTTAAACATAATAAATTATTATAAATAATAATAATGATGATAATAATGATAATAATAATAAATATGAATTTTATTATTATTTACGTAACTTATGCCATAAGTAAATATAATATCATTTTTCTTTTATTTAATTAATAAAAAAATTATACAAAAAAAAAAAAAATTAATTAAATAATAATAATAATAATACTAATGATGATAATAATAATAATAGTAATAAGTTTTTTTTTATTAAGTCTTGTAAAAAAAAAATTATGTATAAAAATTTCATTTTTTTTATGCATACTGGACACAATATTTGTAAACAATAATTATAATAATAATAATAATAATATTTATCACGGCCGCGTTAAATAATAAATACGAGAGTACTCGAGCCCTCCCCTCCCCTCCCCAACCCCCTTTCTTTTATCACGTAATAAAAAATTATTTTAAAAAAAAAAATGTCCGTCACTTTCATCGATTTTCCCTCCTTTTTTAAGGGATTCTATCAAGTCTCATGAAATTTGGCTCGACAATAAGCCACTTTTTTCTTTATTGTCAGACAAACAACGTTCGGGGGGGGGGGTCATTTCATTTTGTAAAACCAAAAAAAAATTATTACAAAAATGTCCCCCCACGAACATGCACGCGCACGCTCACACCCACTTTCACACACTAACAAACAAACACACGTACACAAAAATATATTTACATTCATAATTTTTAAATTTCTCTCCACCACTACTACCACCTTCTCCTCCTCCTCCCCACTCCTCCTCCCATCAATAATCGTCAATGGCGACGATTATCCGTGTAATGTAAATTCATTTGCGTGATGATACATAATAATAATAAAATAATAACGACGGTTAAAATGATTAAATATTAATATTAATAATAATAATAATATTAATATTAGTGATTATCATAGAGAGACGACTTTTTCTTTTAAACATATTTCAGCTTTTCGTTTGTTACACTTTCAAACAAACAATGACTACAATAATAATAATAATAATAATAATAATAATAATAATACTAATAAACTAGAGATCGACAAACCAGTCAAAAATTGGCATTATTAATATTGGCATCGTCTTCATCAAAAAAAAAAAAAAAAATGTAATAATAATAATAGTAATCGTCGCGTTATTACGTAAAATAAATAAAGTAAAAAAAAATTCCCCCCCCCCCCGTCAGCTTTATATATAGAAAAATCAAAACAATCCGGCATCTTTTAAATTGTTTGTTATAATAACATCGGTTACATCGTCAAAAACAAATTGTATGTTGTTCGTGTCCGTGGCACAAGTGAAATGAGTGTAAATTTCTTTCTGATCTTTTCTCCTGTTTAAATTTTCAAATTTCATTTGAATGTAAGCTGCCGCTTCTTCGTACGTGTTGTTCCCTGCGAAAACAAACAAACAAACAAAAAATGACTAAACGACAAACAAGGATTTACGTTGCGGTTGTTATCGTTGTTGTTCTTGGTCAATTTTATTGGAATGACTTTGACTCGTTATTAACGACATTATTAAGATGACATTTTGTGAATATTAAATCGTTAAAGGGCGCGGCTTCATCGATTTCGCACGTAAAATAATAATAATGATAATAATAACGATGAAGATATGGTATGCTTGGGGGGAAAGGTGGGGGGGGGGGGAAAGGGAGCAAGACGACATAAAAATAAAAACGGACAAACGAACCTGTGTATTCTGGAAAGCAAATGGTGAGCGGACTCCTCACGATTTTCTCTTCGAAAAGATCTTTTTTATTAAGGAACAATATTATAGACGTTTCGACGAACCATTTGCTGTTGCATATCGAATCGAATAATTTCATAGATTCGATCATTCTATTCATTTCTTCGTCTTCTGCTAAAACTAAATCGTAGCCGGAAAGTGCAACGCAAAATATGATGGCGTTCACGCCTTCGAAACAGTGAATCCATTTTTTCCTTTCCGATCTCTGACCTCCCACGTCGAACATTCTGCGTTCACGTTTTTTTCAACAACGATAATAATAATAATTAATTAATTAATGGCGGATTTAACATGGCGGTTTTTTTTTTTTTTATTATTTTTTCTTATTCGTTATTAGAGATTTACCTAAATCGTAAATTTTTAAATGTGAAATGTGTTTCGACTATTCCCGTCGTTTTAACTCTCGTCCTCAAAACATCTTGCTGACTCGGTACGTAATTTGGCAAAGATATTTTATCTAACGAATTTAAATAATAAGCTGCTGAATCGTTTAACTGATATTCTCGGGATCTTGAAAAACAATGTTGGACTCCGGCATCTTGCCAAAGTTTTTTCATCAATATCACAAGTTCCGGCGTGAGTTCGCCTTCTTCCGCTGCGCTTGCCAATGTGAAAAATTGCCTCGCACTGTCCTACAAAATAATAATAATAATAATAATAATAATAATCATCCGTTAAAGGTTTAGTCATAATAATTATTTACGTCACGATGATGATCATTTTTAATAATAATAATAAAAAAACAAAATAAAGAAACGAATTTTTCTTATTAAAACAAAAACAAAAACAAAACAAGCGTGATTGAAGCGGGGGAAGGGGGAGAGGGGAGGGGGCCGTGAGAAAAAGAAAATTATCGTTATTGAAATTTATTTCTCAAGCGAATAATAATAATAATAATAATAATAATAATTACTATTTTCACATTAAAAAAAAAGAAAAATTTCACCTAATAAGGAGATTTTAAAAAAATTAACGTGTTTATATTATTTTTTTTCCATTGGATAAACTCATGCAAAATTTATATTGAGAAAAAAACAAAAGAAAAAAATTTACAATTTAATAATAATAATAATAAACAATAGAAAGTTTTAGAAAATTAAATGATTGAATTAAAAATTTAATTTTTTTTTCTAGGATTTAATTTTGAAAAGAAAAAAATGCGAAAAAGTAAACGACAAAAAAACTCGAATAAACTATGTTTAAATATTTGTAGTCAAAACAGACAATATGAAAAGTTTTTTATTATTATTTTTATTTGTTTATGATTTTTATTACTCTGTTATCCTTTTACTAAATTACAAAATAAATAAATAAAATTAAATTTAAAAAAAAAAAAAAAAACAAATCAACACATTCACGACACAAAAATTTTTTGTGCGACATGACATTAAACGATATTTCAACAACTTGCATTTAACTCACCCCTTAAATATATATATAATTTCCAAAAGAGTACTGTAAAAAAAGAGAATTCTTCATTACAAATAATTATTATTATTATGTCATTTAGATTAACTTATCTTAAAAATTTCTTTTACTGCTAAACCCATTTATTTTAATCCGAGTAATTAAAATGAGGTAAATAATTATAATAAAATTAAACGAATAGTTTAACATTTTGTCATTGATGATTTTGAGAGAAACTGCAGACGATTGTGATTTAATGTTAAAGTATTTGGTATCATACTGATTTTGAAAGGGTGAAATATTTAAAAGGTATGTATATAATAAAAATTTTTTGCTTACTGCTCTGCTGGGATCAGCAAAAGGTATTCTTAATTGACCCATCGCTCTAATGATTGCCATCAAACTTTGAATTGTGTTACTGTATACAACCGGTCTGTATTGTTCGCATTCTTCAGGTGAATATCCAAACTCGTGTATTATTTTCATTTGCTTAACAATTGTGCTTTTCCCAGACTCTCCAGCTCCTTATAAATAATAATAATAATAATTTTAAAAATGTGTTGTTGCAGAGGTTTTATTTATAAAAAAAAAAAATATTACCATTTGAAAAAAGTAAAAGAGCTTTTGATATTAATCAACTTTCCAAAAAAAAATTCTTATGTAAAAGGTGTCAAATTAAGTATAATTTTGTCAATAAAAGTATTTGAATAACGATAAAACAATCATTACAAAATCAGGGGAAAAAAATACCCTTCGGCTTATTGACAAGGTAAAACTTACCCAGTAGTAATAATTTAACTTCCCAAGCAGCCCTTTCTCCATCGGCTTTTAAGTCTTTGTCAATTTTTTTAGATCTTTCAATGGCTTCTTTTTCGCCATTCGTGCTAACCGCACATCCCATTCTTAATTACGTACTGCTTATACCCAGAGGAAAATAGTAAATAAATAGTATAGGCCACCGACTCCACCCGACATTCGCAAGATGGCGGTTAAAATTTCTTTTGAATTTTCGTTGGCTAAGTTTTCCAGTTGTGTAAAAAAATTTTAATTTATAATTAAAAATTAAAGTTGTTTCACATATTTTAAATTTAAAAACATTACAATTTTACAATTAGAATGTTAAAATGTAATTAAAAAATGATAAAACACTTGACCAAACGATCTATCTACGTCCACCTTTGAGTCGGTTATAGTTTACTAACATACGTTTTCCGTTCGTAAATTAACAGCTACTGGAGAATATAGTTGTTCGTAAAATAATTAGTTTTGTGTTGTACCGCTTTTTTTTAAAAAAAATTTCATTAAAAAAAAAAAGAAAACTTTTTACATTTAAATTATTTTTAATAAATTATAAATTATTTAGTTTGTTTAATTTATTCTTTTTTTTTTTTTTTAAATAAAAGGGATTATTTTTTAAAAAGCCGGTCAAACATAATCCATTGACATATTTTAATTCGTTGATTTTTCGAACACACGTTTAAAGTAAAAAGTTACAAATTAAATTGCACTATTGGTTCAAAACCCTAAACTATGAGATTATTTGTATTATTCATTAATAATTTACTCAGTTGATATTAATAAATTTTAGTTTAAAAAATTAGTTTTCATTTTATAAAAAAAAAAGTATTATTATTTATAGGTAAGAGTTTTTTTTTTTTGAAAACAATAATCGAAACTTACATTTATTTTGACATATAGAAATCACATTTGACAAATGTGTGAATGTAAACGTAGTTACTTTAATAAAAAAAAAAAAAATTACCTCCGATTATGTGTGGTAAGATTTTTAAATTAACAATTAAATTTTTTAATTTTAATAATTCTTTTAATTATTTTCAAGGTTTTTTTATAACGAAATGTCAGTGAAAAAGATTTGCTGCATTGGTGCCGGGTATGTGGGTGGTCCTACATGTAGTATTATCGCATTGAAATGTCCGGAAATTACAGTAACGGTAATCGATAAAAATGAAGAAAGAATAAAACAGTGGAACTCGGACAAACTTCCCATATACGAACCAGGTTTAGATGAAATTGTTAAAAATTGCAGAAATAAAAATTTATTTTTTTCTACTGATGTATATGCAGCAATTAAAGAAGCGGATTTGATTTTTATATCAGTGAATACTCCTACTAAAACATATGGTATTGGAAAAGGTAGAGCTGCTGATCTCAAATTTGTAGAAAGTTGTGCTAGAATGATTGCTGATATTGCTGAGGAAAATAAAATTGTTGTTGAAAAAAGCACAGTTCCCGTAAGAGCAGCTGAAAGTATTATGACAGTATTAAAAGCCAATCAGAGGCAAGGAGTCAGTTATCAGGTTCTTTCGAATCCAGAATTTTTAGCCGAAGGAACTGCTGTGAAAGATTTATTGAATCCTGACAGGGTATTAATAGGTGGTGAAAACACACCAGAAGGAATTATTGCAATCGAAGCACTTTGTGCAATTTACGAGCATTGGATACCCAGAAAAAACATAATTACGACCAACACTTGGTCATCGGAATTATCAAAACTTGCTGCCAATGCATTTTTAGCTCAAAGAATATCAAGTATTAATTCATTATCAGCAGTGTGTGAGGTGACAGGTGGAGATGTATCTGAAGTTGCTGCTGCCATAGGTATGGATTCAAGAATCGGTTCAAAATTTTTACAGGCTTCAATAGGTTTCGGTGGGAGTTGTTTTCAAAAAGATTTATTAAATTTAGTTTACATGTGCGAGTGCCTTAATTTACCTCACGTCGCAAATTATTGGCAACAAGTATTGGACATAAATCAATATCAAAAAACAAGATTTACAGAAAAAATAATAGAATCTCTTTTTTGCACTGTGACTGGGAAAAAAATTGCTATTTTGGGTTTTGCATTTAAAAAAGATACGGGTGACACGAGAGAATCTGCCGCCATATTTGTTTGCAGAACTCTTTTAGCAGAAGGCGCGAGACTTAACATATACGATCCAAAAGTTGAAAGTAAACAAATAATGGAGGATTTAAAAATTTCGTTGACGACGCAGGAAACGAAAAACGAAGAGAAAAGCATTATGATATTTGACGATCCGTATGAGGCGACTGCAAAAACTCACGCCATTGTTTTATGCACAGAATGGGACGAATTTATTTATTTAGATTATGAAAAAATATTTAACGAAATGATGAAACCCGCTCATATATTTGACGGACGTAAAATTTTACAACATGATAAATTAATTGAAATCGGTTTCAACGTTCAAACTATAGGTAAAAGTTTAAATTCAAATCATTTATTAAATAATTGGTGATTATTAATCCCATATTTATTAAAAAAAATATTCGTGCAATTAATTTTAATTTTTTTTTTTTTTTTAATTACACAATCATCGTTCTTCCAAAGTTTTTTTAACTTTAATTTTAATTTTATATATTCCACAATTTATTTTTAACGTATTATTTACTTATTTTTTAATAATAATGAAATATAATAAATATATTTTATTTATTATTTATTTTAAATTTTCCCTTTCCTAATTAAAAAGAAAATCAATTAATGTAACCTCACTGTTAATGCTTAAAAAAAATTTTTTTTTTTTTTTTTTAAATGAAATAATTAACAAGATGAAATATTATTAAAAATTAGTTACAAATAGTTTGAATGAATGAAAAAAAAAAGTGACGAAATGTTAAGAAGGAGAAATAAATAAATAAAAAAAGGCAAAAGTTAATTAATAAAACAAGAAAATTTTATACAAAAATTTAAACAATAAAAAAAAAAAAAAAAAAAAAAATTTATTATGCTACAAAATATAATTATATATATAAAAATTAAAGTATTTTTTCGAAGATGTTTGTTTGTTTGTATCGACGTTTTAATTAAGTTGTTATGTCCAAAATAATGTATTAATAATAATAGTAATTTACACGTTTTCCATAGATTTTACTTTAGCTTGCTCTGGACGAGCTACAAAAAATTGAAAATCTCAATTTTTAAATCAGAAAAAAATTACGTTAGGGGAGTCGTGGGGGGCGTCGAAAAGAAAAATTATTTATTTTTATTATCATTTATATTTATTGCGATTAAAAGAAAAAAAAAAAATTCATAAATTGTTTTGTTTTTTTACGGTAATTTTTCATTATGACTTACTGGGACAACCTCCGTTTGAAAATGTTATGTCATCAATAGCAAAACCTCCATTTGTTGCCATACCTCTCATGACAACGTTAAAATCAGTGCTACCATCAACCGTGAGTTGTCCTGGAGTCCAAAGAGGACGTTGAGAATCTAAATCGGCTGCTTGAACTTGCCAAAGCTAACAAAAAAAAAAAAAATTTGTTCGGTAAAATTTGTTGAACTTTTTTATTTGCCATCATCACTTTACTATTAAAACTTACGATTTCTTTTGGATTTTCTTCGTTGGTCGTATTATCTTGTCTCATTATTATCAATTGAGCATCTTCTCCAGCACCGAAAGCGGCAAACCAAAATGCCATACAATAAGATTCTTTATTTGATGGAATTACTGGAGATACAAAATTAACTTCGTTAATTGCCGCATTGTGATTGAAGAGATCAAAATAAACGTAACCCTCTGTAAAATAATAAGAAAATTTTTTTTTTAGTAAATCTGTTCAGTAAAAAGAAACATGTCGAAAGAAAATGATAATAACCTGGAGCACCAAATGTTTTATCTAAAAGATTAGCTGGTCGCCTCGTGTTAACTGCCAATTTCCAAGATTGTACAGGTACCGTTTTATGATTTTCAATAACCCAACCGCATGTGTCTTTGTCAAAATGACAATCACCAGGTCGAATTTCAGCTTCTTTCGGTAAAACTGTTACGAAAAAAAAAGTTAATTAGTTAACGGTTGTTAATAAAATTAACGAATTTAATGTTGTTTGTTTGTTTGTTTGTTTTACCAGAGCATTGGCCATTGTAAAAAGTTATGTCATCAATAGCGATAATTCCGTTTGTTTTACTCGAACCCCATGTTCCTTCAATTATTATCTAACCATTCAAAAAATAGAAAAAAAAAATTAATTTGTTTCCCTTTAATAAAATGATTAATAAACTATTATTATTATTATTATTATTGTTTACGGTATAATTAATTTCATTGATAAAAGTTTGTGCGAATTTCCATTCGGGTCCTTGATGATTGTACAATTGCCATTTTGGAGTTACTATCGGTACGTTATGTTTATCAAATGTTTTTGTATAAATTGCCAATGAACCCAAACTGGAACCTGGTGGTTCTATGTAAGGTTCGTTTAATATGTACCTTTTAAAAGAATGAAAAATTTTATTGTTTAAACATTTTTACACATTAATATTGTTTCTTGAAGTTTTTGTCGTGTCTTACCAAAATGTCATACATCTGGGTTGAAATTGCATTTTAATTTCTTTACCACCCAATAAAGCTCTCGATCCTGGACGTTGAGTGTTACCTTTCCCCAATGCCAAAAAGTATCCCTTATCTGTACCTAATGAATGATCAATCATTAACGGTCTTGTTTCCATTCCAGTTATTCTTTCCCAATCGAAATCATCCGTTCGTTCTCTCGGGCTTGCATTTGTCCAACCGCATTCGTCGACTTCAAAACGACAATCTCCTGGTGTTATGGCAGCTACCTGAGGCGAAACTTCAATAGAAAAAATTTATTAATAATCTGTAAGGTTTAGGTTGATGAGATGAGGTGCCAAAATTAATAATAATTACTCGGACAACTTCCGGGTATTAGAGAAACGTCATCGATGGCTATATTTCCCAACTGATTTTGACCAACTTGTCCGGCTATGATGATTCTAAATGAATTTGGACATGATATGGGTACTTCTGCTTGATGCCAAACATTTCCTGATTCTCCGGAAAGACTCCACAATTCGGTATCTGTACCTTCGTCTTTATCGTTCAGAATAACACTCAACGTACCGATTCCACTTCCGTACATGTGTGTCCAAAATCTTAAGCAAAGCGGTTCGTTCATGGCTATTAAAAAAAAGAACATTCTCGAATCTTAAATCTTTTTTTTTAAATGTGATAAAAAATTTTAGAGAAACTCACGAGTGGCTTCAAAATCTTCGCTTGAAAGTAATGCAATGTCACCAGGTTTACGAGGATATGATGAATCAATAAAAGCAAAACCACCTTCCATACCTCCATGTAGCGAACTTGATCTATCGGAAGCGGGTCCTGTTGATGGATTCGTACTTCCTCTTCCCTTCAATCATAAGACCAACGGTGTTACATAAATTCAAAGAAAAATTTTTACCTTCATTTCGTTTACTCACCAACGACCATTGAAAATCATCACCATCTTCGTTGTACCACGAACAAAAACCTCCTTCAAACGTACAATGACCCTTACATTCAGATCCAGGTTGTCTTGCGATATTGTCAACGGCAACATAACCTCTATATCTTCGTAACGGATCACCTAAATCTTTAGCAACCCCTTCGAAAATAATCTGAAGGGAATGAACATAATAATCGTTACAAACAATTCAAAACCAAACCGAAAACTTTAAAGAAAATTTTTCATACCTGATGTTCTTTGTTAAAAGTATACAAAACTTCTGCTCTTTTCCATTTTCCATCAGTCACGTCTTTCGAACTCCATAATATCCTATCAAAAGTATCATGATCGTTTTCTTCTTCGTTAATAGGATGAAGCAAAACCCTTAAACCTGCAACGCTTAAACCATCAATGGCATAACTGCAAACAAACAAACAAACAAACAAAAATTTTCTTTAAACTATAATTTCCAGTCAACATGCAAAACAATCGTAAACAATCGTTTGTTACCTCTTATCACTTCATAATTTAATCGAAAAATTAATTTTTTATACCTTTATTTTAATCGTAAGGTTCACAAATGAATTATTATTATTATTATTATTGTAAAAGTCATTAACCGTTAAAAAAAAAGGTTAATTCTTACTTAAAAGAAATGCATTTTCCATTCAAACTCGTTGTAGGTTCGACGGCGCTTTCGATAAGAGCATTTTGTGCCATTCTCGAATCAGGTACCAATAATGACGTTTCAAAAAATATATAACCTCCTTTGCCATCGGCATTTGCATCCATCGTGGGACCCCCGAGCCAATTCGATAGGGATCCAGCACCGAATTCCCATTTTAAACTCGAACCATTTTTATTCGTCCAATCGCAAGTTATCTGATCGACATCCGTACCAAAATCGCATATTTCTATCAACAAAAAAAAATTTCCTCGAAATCATTTCGAATACAAACAAACAACAAACAAAACAAACGAAACAAACAAACAAACAAAATAATTTCATACCTGATGTTTCTTGTCTTTTGTTTCGATTCTAAAACAAACGAGAAAAAAAAGAAAATTTATTTTTTTAAAAAACTATTTCCGGTGAAATCCAAAAAAAAAAAGAAAAGTCACGTGACTTACAATTTCTTCTAAATTTTCAACATCCAAATCGATTTCCGTTAACGGATTTGTCAAACCGAACGATGATAATGATAATAGCCAAACGTTAATAATCCATATAGAAAACAAAAACATTTTGTCGCCTTTTTTTCTCCCCTTTTTCGATTGCGGTCAAGATGATGATAATGATAATAATTAACTTATGATTTTCCACTTAACGGAAATTTCGTTATTCATAAAAAATTTTTTTTTTTTTCAATCGATATCTGAAATTTGAATTTTATTAAAAATGAGGGGGGGTGGGTTAAAAGGTCAGCAACTTTTATTTGAACTATTTTGTTGCATCTTCCATTCATTCATTCATTCATTCGTTAATATTATCCGTTCTACCCCCTCCATCCCTCCCTTCCTTCCTCCCCGGCAGGTTTAATTATGATTCGTTTTCGAATAAAATTTTAAACGATAAGGCGTACCAACATTGCAAAAAAAAAACATAATCGTTCGCGTTAAAGGTTGTTTTTGTTTTTTTCGTTGAAATTGGATTGCAGCGGGGGGTGGGGGTGGGGGAAAGGGCCGAAATGCATATAACGATTTCGAATCTGTGTAAATTTTTACACTTTTCTTTTCCAGATTGTGAAAATATCGATTTTTTTGTTTTATATTAACTATAAAAATTAATGTAAATGGAACGAAAAAGTTTTTTTTTTTATTTTACAAACACGCAAATTATTTTTTTATTTAATATTTATTTATAATCCTGTATTATAATTTCATGCTCGCTAATAAAATGTCGTCTAGTTAATTGCATTCCGCCATTTTTATTTAAAAAAAAAAAAAACCCAAACGAAGAAAAAATTTTTAATTTTTTTAAAAATGCCACGACAAAAAAATTATACCCGTTCTTTTGTTGTTGTTGTTCGATTTGTTTGTTGTGTTTGTTGTGTTTTTATTTAAGAGTCAAATAATTATTTCGGGAAATAATCAATGACACCGATCAAGGTTTATAAAAAAAAAATAATAATAATCAAAACCGAAAGTAATTAAATATGGCGGTAAATAATAAAAAGGTTGAATCGGATTGAAAATGCGAGGGGTTATTAATCACAAAACAAAACCCTTCACCTCTCCTCCTCCTCCTCCCCCCTTAAAACATAATTATGTTGAACTTTATTATCATCATTTTCCCTTGCCGGAAAACTTAAAAACATTTCGAACAATTTTTTGTAAGTTAGTAAGGGGGGACGGACGGAAGGGGGTGCTTAATGAATTACTTTTACTGTTGTTAATAACAAATCAAAACCCCGGACATTTTTTTTAAAAAATGTTCAGTAAAGTGTGAGGTGAACGAACCTTAAATAATAATGATAATAATTACAATTATTAAATTAATATATATAAATCACACATTCATCGATCTCTTTTTTTAGTTTTGTTTCGTTTTGTTTTGTTTTGTTTGTCGAACGAGAGAGAGAGAGAGAGAGAGAAAAAAAAATTATTATTATTATTATTTAATTAGGGCATTAGTACATTTTCGGAGGGTCGTGTAAAAAACTAAAAAAGGGCGGGAAATTAATTTTTTGCGTTTTTCCGCGTACGTTTTCTTTTTCTTTCCTATTGTTAAAAATCACATCTGAACTTTTTCGGTTTCGATTATGTTGTAATTTTTTCCGGGGTAAAACAAAAAAAAATTTCCAAAATGGCGAATTTATTTATTAAATAAATGTCGCGAGTAAAATTTAAAAATCATTTTGTAAATTCTATGAGTGTAATTAAAATAGAAAAAAAAAAGGAAAAAAATTTTTTTTTAATGTTCGACATTAAAATCCTCCTGCCCTGGTCAACGCTTATGAATAATTCATCGATTTTTTTTCTCCCTCCCCCCCGTATCCTTTCTTCCCCCCACGTAATAAAATTCTACGATTGTTATCTTATTTTACTGTTGTGACGTATTAATAAAAAAAAACGGTTGACGGTTTTTTTAAAATTTTCTTTCGAAGAAATCAATGGAAAATTTCTGGTCGTCAAACTTTTTTTCCCGTTATATGACAAAATAGTGTTAAAAAATATTTGGTTGTTGTTGTTGTTGCATACATACGTCTAATTGAACTGTCATATGTCATTGTTGTCAAAAAAAACAAACGAACAAACAAACAAACAATAAAAAATAATTTACCGCACGATAGTAATATAAAATTTAATAAAATAAATAGTCCAGACGACGTACGTTTAACACACGACACAAACCGTTTCACGCGGGATTTTTTTTTTTTTTTTCCTCTACATCAATAATGATAATGATGATGATGTTAAAAAAAAAAATCGTTACGGTCTACGTACCATCAGGTACAGAATTTTTAAATGAAGGTATTTTTCTCAATTTAATACGACAGTAATAAAAACATCAAATCAAAAGCGGTGGAATTTAAACTATTTAATTTTTTTTTTTTTTATTAGTTAAAATATTAATTAATCGATTTATGTTTTATTAAAAAAACAAACAAAAAAGCAACAACCACAACAACAACAACAACAACAAACGGTTTAAACGTAAGAAAAAAAAAATATTAAATAAAAAAATTAAATAAAAAAATGAACAAAAAAAAAACATTTTTTTGATGTTCGTTAAAACATTTTGTAACTTACGGTAATATTTTCCTTTTCACTCTCTCTCTCTCTCTTTCTCTCTTTCTTTCTATATTTCTCTATCTCTCTCTAAAAACTTCACAAAACTTTTTTATAAAAAAAAAAAAAATTTTATACACACACACACCCACCTTCATGCGGTGTTAGCGTCATGCAAATTGACCATTCACTAAAATTTTTTTTTTTTTTTAATGATTTTTGTGTTCTTTCTGCTACCACGTGAAAATATAACTTCTGCCCCTGCGCAACTATATTCATAAAAACAACTACAAACAAAAAAATACTAATCCAGTATATATAATACTCTCGGATCTGTATCCTCTCCCCTTCCCTCTCCTTCCCGTTTTATTGTGATGTATGTTAGTGGGGGAAGGGAGGGGAAAAATTTAGGATATCGAATTAAAGTTTGCTAATACACACACAGAATCGGTTTCAGAATCTCGTTTACCCAATTAAAAATCATCTTAAATTGCAAAAAGAAAAATTAATGCCATTTGGGATTTAACCTTTGTTTTTTTTTTGGAGGGGGGAAGGAAGGGGGAGGAGAAGGGAAGATCGTATCGATTTCCCAAATTTAAAAAAAAAAATAAAATGGAATTTTAACACGCTCTAAAACACACGAAAATAATTTGCGACATTTTTTTTGTGGACAAATCCTCGACGACGAGAAACATTTAAAATAAAAAACGAGGGAAATTTCCCTTTGGGGGGAATGGTGGTGTGGGGAGGAAGGGGAGAAAAGAAAATCTTACCTCAGAACCCTCAGAACCATCTAGTTGGAAAATTTATAAAATATTTTTTTTTTAAAGTGGAAAACGAGTTTTCGAAATGAAACAAAAAAAACAAAACCACCGACATCTTTTTATTTAATTTAATAACTACTAAATATTCAAAAAAAAAAAAAAATGGGGGACCTTCGCCATTTTTTTTCTTTTTCTTTACCTTTTTTATAAAAAAATTTTCCTTTTTCCCCTCCCCCTCCCCTCCCCTAAATTAAAGCTTTCGAGTTAAATTAAATTTTCGTTATGAATGAATCAAATTTTTTTGTTTTTGTTTTATGAGAAATTTAACATTTCGAAAAAAATTTTTTTTTTTTTTTCGTTATTTAAGGTTCAAATTCAGGTTCAAATTTTTTTTTATTTTTTTTATTTTTCGAAACCTTGAAAAATGATTCTTCCGTTAATTTATTGATTTTATTTTATCGATTTAAATCGATTTCTTAATCGGTATAAATTAATATTTATTATCGAAACAATAACAAAAAAAATTTTTTTTTTTTTTTTTAAATAATAAATTTTATTTATTTAAATAATTTAAATTTAATTACAATTTACATTTTTAATAATAATAATAATAATGAATGAACAAAACAACAAAAAATAATAATAATAATAAGTAAATTATCACATCATTTTGGCAAAATAAAAAGGAGCTGAAGGTTGTAAGAGAAAAGGTGCAAAAAGAGATGATGAATTTTCCGCAGCGGAAACATTATAATAACTACCACCGTTTGTATTATTGTTGTGGTTGTTGTTTGTCGTACCGTTATTGTTTAACGACGATGACGATGACGACGACTGATGAGATTTATGATTCGAATAAGAATTTTCGTGTAATTTACGAACGTGTTTTTTCAAATCGAAATTCCTACAGAAACCTTTTCTGCATATTTTACACGTGTATGGTTTTTTTTCATTGTGCGTGTGCATGTGAAAAGTCAAATTATACACTTGATGAAAAGCTTTAGAACAAACGTTACACTTATATGCTTTTTCCGTGCTGTGTGTCAATTTGTGATTTTTATAATTTCCCTTTTGGTGAAAACCTTTTCCGCAAAGTTCGCACACGAAAGGTTTATAACCGGCGTGTATTCGTGTGTGGGTGTTTAACGTCGAACTCCTATTGAAAGCTTTACCGCACGTTAAACACTTGTGAGGTTTTTCCGACGTGTGTATTATCTTATGCCTGCACAAAGTAGACGCTTGACGAAAACCTTTACCGCATATTTTACATATGAAAGGTCTTGCACCTGTATGTACAGGCATGTGCCTCGTTAAATTATAATGAGCGTTAAACACTTTACCACATTCCGAACACACAAAATTTTTTTGCTTGTTTGTCGTCAAAACCGTTTTGACATTTTTCCCCGAATTATTCCTTTCCGTATCATCATCCGATATTAATCGTGAATTTATTTTATCATTGCACTCTCTACTGTTATCAATCGGGGAACCTTTCGATAACACGGGTAACATTCTTTGCGAATTATTATTATTATTATTATTATAAAAAAATGGATATTGATATAACATGTAATTGGGACGTTGTATAACGTTCGGTACGTATTTTTTAAATGCGGAATCTATATGTACGGAATACGTAGGTGATGATGACGATGACGATGATGATGATGATGACGACGATGATGACGTAGTCGTTGAATTTTTTATATTTTTATCCTTTCCAGTATTTAATTGCATTATTTTTTCTATGGAAAAATTTAACGCTTTCGTCGATGTTATTCTCGATCGAGAATCTCCTTCTTCCACCATTTTTCTCAGAATATAATTTTCCTCTCGTTTTTTGAACTGTAAATTAAAAAAAAAAAATCATTAATTTCATATTTGATAATAATAATAATAATAATAATAATAATAATAATAATAATAATAATAATAATAATAATAATAAAATAATCCGTGGATATTTGTTAAAAAATTATTATTATTACGCAATTTTAAATAAACAATTAATTTTTTTAAAACAATTTCCCGTTTGTTCGTTCGCCATATTTGCTACATGGATTAAATTAAATATCCCATGGAAAAATATAAACAAAAACAAATAAAATCGGATAAAATTTTCTTTTTTTTTTGTTTGTTTGTTTGTTTGTTTGATCTCATTAAATAATATTCTCAAATTATAAGAAAACATTCTTGAGAAAAGGATTTATATTTATATATAAATATCGAAACATACATATCGAAATCGTTTTGAATTTTTTTATTAATAAAACAAACAAACAAACGAACAAACGAAATCGACAGGAAGGTAATTTTTTTTCTTTTATACCTTTAACGGATTCATTTAATCGGGTACGTAATTTTTGTCCTCGTACGACGTCCTTATCATCCCTTAATCATCCCTTTACTTTTTTACTCTATTATTAGAAAACTTACACGACCGACCATCATCACCACCCTTTGAAAATTAATAGCAAATATTTATACAACAGCGCAGATGGTTGGTGTGGTGCCTTGGGTTTTACAACAACAACCACTCGACAAACAAACATGAGTAAATAAAAAAAAAAAAAAAAATATGAAATCGATTCCTCCGGTTGTCTTTACAACGACGACGACAAAAAAAGAAAATTACATCGTCACCGTACATATTTATTCACAGACTATTTACTACTAATTGTAATTATTACTTATCATTATTATTATCATTCATTTTCCACAGAATAATAATAATGATAATAATCAAAGGAAAATTTTAAATCAACGGAAAATTTTTTTTTTTTCATTTTTTTCACCTTCCATCTCTTCGGTTATTTAAATTAATTGTAAAAAAAATCACCATAACGACAATTTTCCAACAGCAAATAATAATGATGATAATGATAGTAATAATAACAAAGGAGAAGTCAAACAATTTTTTATTTTGCTGATAATAATAATAATGATAAAAAAATCAGAGCAACAGCAGCATCATCATTTTTTTTCCCACATTAAAATTCATTTTTTGTAACGTGGCACCAATCGATTAATTGTAATTAATTTATAATAATAATAGTTATAATAATAATGAGAGTAATAATAATAATGATAGAAATATAAAGAAAAAAACTTACGATTTGAAGCCTAAAGGAAAAAAAAAAGGAGAAAAAAATTTTTTTTTTTGATTTAAAGTCCAGGTGGGAAATTTTTTTTTTGATTTAAAGTCCAGGTGAGAAAATTTTTTTTATTTTGTTATTAACGTTCCATGATAACTTTTTCCACTTCCGGTAATATTTTAAACACACTCAACGATAATTTTATTACGTAATAAAAACACTTTTAATTTTTTATTAAAAATCACACAAAGTGATTTATATTTTAATATGTAAATAATAATAATAATTAAAAACATTTTTTTATGTATATTTTCGTTAACGATTTACTTTTCCCGACAAAAAAAAATTATGAAAGAAGGAAGAAAATTTTTCGAAAAAAAAGGAAAAGCGAACGACGACGATGACGACGACGACGACGAAAACCCCGTAAAAAAAAGGAAAAAAAAAAAAACAAAAAAAAGGGAAAAAAAGGAAGAAGGAAAAAAAATTTTCTTTTTTTTTTTTGTTTTTTCTTCCTTCTTTTCCTTTTTTTCTTCCTTTTTTTCTTCCTTTTTTTCTTCCCTTTTTTCCCTTTTTTTTTAAATATTATTTATGACTGAACTTGGCAAAGAAGAAAACAGATGAAAAGCTTCTGCGTTAAAAATTTTATCCCGATTCATTTCGGCTCGGGGAGGAGCTTGAAAGATTTTCCAGGGTAATTTTCCAGAGTCCAATGATGATAAAATTTAGTCAACGTTTTTTACCAACGAATCAAATTTCCAAAGGCGGATTTTCATTTATATACATCAATTCTAAAACGTTTTATGTCCCCTTTTTTCTAAGGGATGAAGAAAAAAAATTTCCCTTTTATTTATTTTAATCCGAGGGGTGAAAATGAAATTTTTCTAATTTTTCTTTTTCCTTTTCCTACGTCACTCGTTTTTCATAATCATTTTTTCCTTTGTTTTCTTACCTTTTCGATGCCTCCTTTAAATTATAAAATTTCTTTCGAAGGACTCAAACCTTTCGGGCGAAAAAAAAAAAAATTGTCATTCTTACGTATAAATAAAATGACGTCACATTGACAAAAACCTTTCGTGCAACGATTTTTCTTCGATTCCTTACTGATAACGCGAGCACTAACAAACGCTGATAACAGATCGAACCTAACGTCGAACCTTAATTTAATCGATCCAAAAAATTACCCTTTTAAAAACAAAAAAAGGGTTATAAGAATTCCGTAGAATATTTTTATTTATTATTATCATTATCATTATTATTACGTAGAAATTTTCCTTGAATTTTAGTTTAATGAAAATTTTGCACTTTTGTTTAAGTCGTGACAGCAGACAAAAAAAAATTTATTTAAGTTACATAAATTTTCATATAAAAAATTGAATTTTAATTTAAAAAAAAAAAAACAAGTTTTCAAAACGTTTTCCTTTGAAATGAAAATAATAATAATAATAATATTCGCCCCGTTCGTAAAATTAATAATAATAATAATAATAATGTTGTGCGGAAAATAAAAAGAAAATTTTTTTTTTTTTCATTTTTTTTTTTTTTCAATTTTTTTATTTAATTCTCAAAACGTTCAACGCGTCAAATAAATAAAAAAAAGAAAAAAGTTGAAGTGCAAATGAAGCTTGACAAGAGAATAATAATAATAATAATAATAATAATAATAATAATAATAATAATAATAAAATTTATTAATTCAAAAAAAAAGTAAAAAAAGAAAAGAAAAGAAAATTCGTATTAAAATCGAAATACCGGATGTAAAAGGAAAAGAAAAAAAAATAAATAAAATTTTTTTTTATTTTTATTCCGTTTTGCTCTCTCTCTCTTTCACTCTTTCACTCTCTTACTCTTTCTTTCTCTCGTTTCCCCCCCCCTCCTTCCTTTTCGCTCTTAGTGCCACGACAATTTTTTTTTTAAATAAAAAACTTTTCAACCCTTCTTTCACTACCTCCATTTCTCTTTTTCCCTCTTCCCTTTTCCTCAGTTCGCGCTATCTCTCTCGCTCGGATTTTCCCCAACCTTTCTTTTTCCTCCCCTCCCCTTCTCAGTCACATTTCCATTTTTGATCCTCTTCCTTTTACCCCCTCACTCGTCTTCCCCGAGTGAAAATTTCGACTCCTACATTCATTTCAATTTTCATCCGACTACGACGACGACGCATGCATTCGGATGGAAGGGGAGGAGGGGGAACGACACGTTTTACACCTTTTTATTTTTATTTTCACCCTCTGCGCTGTCGGTTAAAAAAAAAACGCTCACCCAAAACCGACAGCAGTAAATAATAATAATAATAATAAAATTAGTTTTATGTTGTTTCATAACACAAAACAATTTAAATTGATAATTATATCGTCGTTGACCCTTTTACCGTCGTTTGACAATATCCGTCGTAGCCATATTAATCACCGCCTTCTTTGACCGTTAAAATTAATTTTCCTTTTTTTTCTTTTCATTGTAAACAAATTGTGGGGGACGTCTTGCTGTCGTGACCCCCCATTTAAATATTTATTATTATTATTAATAATCTTTTTTATCGTTTATATTGATATTAAATTAATTGATTTTATACTTTGAAAAATAATATTAATAATAATAATAATAATAATAATGATTATACGTGTATTGCTTTTCTCGAAATAACCATATTAATAATGATAATTATTATTACATTAAAAATGAAAATATATTAATAAATAAATAAATAAATAACTTTAATAATTCTACGTGGTTCTGGTGATGGTGGTTGGGGTGGTACTGATGACGTTTTTATTCCCTTTAAGATAATAATGATGATGATAAAATAATAATAATAATAATAAATAGGTAAAAATTTTCTATTTTTTTAAAAATAAATAAATAAATAAATAAAAAGGTGAAAAAATAAAAAAAAAATTTTCTTTTTTTTATTTATTTATTTTCCTCCCACGTCAATTTAAAAGGAAATAAAAATAAAAAATAAAAAAGAAATAAGAAAAATCAATAAAATATTTGGTTCTGACAAGTTAGAAGAGAGCCTTTTATATTGTTTAACAAAGGAAGAGCCCCACTCCCTCTTCCCCTCCCCGCTCTCCTACCCACTCTCCCTTTCCTCCCTTCATTTCCACGCTACATATAATCCCATTATGTTACGACGGGATGTTTTTTCCAGATGATTTCATTTTCCTTCTTTTCATCCCTATACCAACACACACACACGTATATGTTTATCTCTTTCTATCACATCATTCTATCCTTTTCTTTCTTCCTATTCCTCTTCATCTTCTTAAATCATATTTATATTTATTTTTTACTCTTAACCTTACCTTCCGTCATCCATTTTTATTTTCTCTTTTTTATTTATTTATTTATTTATGTTTTTTTTTGGATTAATGTCACGTGACCAATAATAACACGCGGATTATTATTAAAAGGTTTAAAAGGATTTGGATGATTTCCTTTAAAATTTTTTAAATTTCAATTTAAAAAAAAAAAAACAACAAAAAAATTTAATTTGTCAAATTTTTTTTTGTTATCTATTAATTAATTAATAAATAAATTATTTTTTACAACTAAAAAAAAAATTACAATAATTAAAACTTATTTATTATTACAATTCGTGCATTGATGAAAAGAGAGAGAGAGAGAGAGAGGGAGAAATAGAAGAGAGAGATAGAAATTAAATAAATAATTTTTTTTTTTCAATTAAAGCTACCGTAAAACTTTTTTCATATAAAATCAATATTAATAATAATAATTAATTATTAATTTCAAAAGAAAATAATAATAATAATTAATATAAAGCTGTCGTCGTATTATTATTATTATTATTAATAAATAAAATAAAATTCGTTACACCGAAAAAAATTATAAAAAAAAAAATCAGTCTTAATTAAAAGTCGATAAATAAAATCAAAATAATAATAATTAATAATTAATAATTAATAAATAAGAAAAGAAATCATCATTTTTTTTATTTATTTATTTAATTAATTAATTTTTTATTATTTTAGTACAACGAAATCACAAATAAATAAATAAATTTATTATTAAAGCTTTAATAAAATTTTTTTATTTAAACTTCTACACATCATCTAGAATTATTATGATCTTAAAAATACAAATAAAAAATTTAAATAAATAAATAAATTAAAAAAGAGAGATAGAGAGAGAGAGGGAGAGAAAGAGAAAAAGAGAGAGATCTCAACGGTTTTTCACACCACACACTTTGTATTTTAAAAAAAAAAACGGTTTTGATGTTGATATATATATTTCATTTTATCATCACTATCACTACCACTAAAACTTCCAAAACAAAAAAAAAAAAATGTCGTCGTAATAATAATAATAATAAAACGTTTGTTGTATAAAACAATTTTTATGTAACATTGCACTAAAAAAATAAAAAATAAATAACTTTTTTTTTGATTATTATTATTATTTTAAATTTACATTTTGTTGATAATGTTATCAATCATTTGGTTTCTTTTTAATAAATTTTTATTAATACATAAGTGAGAACTTATTAATAATAATAATTACACGAAATAATAAGTGATAATCGATAAAATAATAATAATAATAATGAGACATAACGTGGGCTTGATGTAGGCTTCCAGTGATACACACACACAAAAAAAAATTTCCTCTTAAAATTGGGGAGAATAAAAAAAACAAAACGAATTTAAGGGATGATAACTCACCGCACACACCCCCTCAACCTTACGAAAGTGTGAGCGTGTGCGCGTGGTAATGGTTAAAAGGGTAACACCTAATTCAAATTAAACCTTTATTACTCCTTTCATTCCAAATCGAAAACATCGTTTTGAACATGGTCACCTTCACCCCTCCCTCCCCCCGGTTAAACTTTCTTCCTCCCCAAAATTAATAATAATAATAATATTAAAAAAACAAATACCACAAACATTCGTGTAACGATTCAAATAATAATAATAATAAATTTTTTTGTTTTTTTTGACTTTTGTGAAATAACACATATAAACGACGACATTTTTTTTTTAAATTAATTTATTACCGTAATAATAATAATAATGATAATATTTTTCTTTAAGTAAATAATTATAAATAAAAAAAGATTTTTTTTCCTTTTTTTTCCATTTTTTTTTTATACACAATAAACGCTATACGCGCTTCAAAAAAAAAAAAAAAATTTTTTTCTGTTTACGCAATGTAATTAAGAAAAGGTTTTATACACCCTGTGTATTACCCTAATATTATTATCATCTATTTTTTGTTTAATATTATATTTATGTATATATATATATATATAAAATTGCAATGAAAAGTAACAATCATTATCATCATCATCATCATCATTTGTGATAATATTTACATAGAATTTACATACGATTTCATCATAATCATTATTAGCATCCTCGTCGTCGTCATCATCATCAATATCATCATCATCATCATCATCATCATTATAATTATTTTCTTTTTTTTTAATGGATAAAATTAAATTTTACATCACTATGGCTACTGGATTTTCTAAAAACGATAAGTATATATATTTTAATGCGAGGAAGATACGCAAACTTGAAGAACCGTCACTCCGCTCGAACTATCCTCGCTACTCGGTAAAGGTTCGGTACTATCTTCGACAAAATTGGTATCGTCTCCATCGGAAAATGATTCTTTATTTTTGCAAACCGTTTTTTTCCTTTTAGAATTTGTACTCGTGGGTGGATTCGAACGACGACGCGGTGCTGGTCGGTTGTTCATGTCCGGAGAATTACGGAGTTGAACCGCGTATTCCTCTAAAATTGCGTATATCTTTTGAGCTGTGTTGGCATCTTCTTGTGGTTTCTGTTGCGGTTTTGCAACGGGAGGAGATTTCGATGGATTAACAACCGTTTTAACGTTTCTAGATTTAGATTTGGGTGGTGTTTTACAAGAAGAACTACCCGAACCCGAATATGATACCGAACTCACGCCACTGTTCGGACTCGATGAATTTTGAGATGTTATGCTCGGAGCCGGTGACGTCGATGGTTGGGCATAATTCGTGACGACGACCAAAGGTTTCTGTACGTTTGCCGATGTTGGTGTCGAACGACTCACGTAAGCAACGGCAACGTGAGATGAAGAACTGTCATCGATGGATAATTTTGGATTTGCCGTCAGTATTAATCTTTTTTCCGGTTCTTTTTCCATCGTTAAAGGCTTGCTGTCAACTTTTTGTGTGAAAATCGTTTGTTGATTCGGTACCGCTGATGTTATTATCATTTGCGGCTTGTGAAGCATCAATTGCGGTTGAACCAAAACCGTTTGTTGTACCGGTTGAGTGTTGGTTCCTCCCGTTTGAACGTTCACTTGGGGAGGTAGTGGATTTTTACTCGTGGAAACATTTTCAATATCCGGCAAACAATTACCCTGTTGTTCTTCCATTTCAAATTTTAACTTCGTTTCCTCGAATACATTTTCAAATTCTTTTATATCTTTCATGAGTGAAACGGTTTCGTGTTCTGAAACGGATGCCGATGGACTCGTGGTATCGTTTTTCAATGTCGTTTGATCCACTTCGAGTGGCAACGAACACATTTTCCCCGGATCCATATTTAAATCATTTTTAACATCCATTTTAACGGTTGGATTTGTTTTCGTAGTGCTGGCAACTACACTTATAGGCTTTATTGGAAGACTTGTCAAATGGTGAAGAAGCAAAGGTTGTCCGCTTTGCAACAATAAATTCTGATCTTGATTATTTTGAAGAACTAAATTTTGAGTTGGTTTTAATTGAACAATTTTCGGAGGATTAACCGAAGATGCCATTTTCCACACTCCTGAACTAGAAGGTATTCGCAACAGCTGCGTTCCCGGTGCCACGCCCCTCGTTCCGGTAGGTACGGCAGCCAAAAGTAAAGTTTGAGTGGGAGCCGCCGTTTGATCTCCAGGATTTTGAGTGTAAATAATTGGTGCAACCTGAAGATAAAAAAATTCTTTACCAGTTCAAAAAAAAAAAACAAATCGAAGCGATTTATTAAAAGACCGGAAAAACACGAACCTGACTTATGGTTGGGGTATTAATACGTCCGACAGCTCTTTGTATTACTATCTGAGACTGAGCTCTAGTTTCTGTTGTGTAAATAAATGTAGAACCGGAAACGGCATCTTGTGTTTTTAATTGTTTCGTCGTAACCGTATTGATGGAATTTACAGCCTGCAAAAATTTATACCTTTAATAATAATAATAATAATTTTTAAAAAGGAACAATTCGAAAAATAATCATATACCGTACCTTTAGAAAAAAAAGAAATGTTTTCAACAATGCATACCTTTTACAAAAAAAAAAAAACATCAAGCAAAGCATTCTTCTATATAAAAACGACTTTTCAACGGCGTTCACATAAAAAAAAAAAAAAAAAAACATATTTTCACATGTAATTTTCTTTTATTTCGGCAAACCTCGGGAAACTTTGGAGCTGTTTAAAAGGTTTTCCAGGAAGTAATCATAGGATAATCATCATTTACATCCGATTTAAATTATTTCTGGTCATTTAAAAAGTTTTTTTTTCCCTCCATTTTTTACACGCGAAAAAATTGGGCTGTTGTGTACATTAACAATATTTAATTTACGATTTTTTTACATTCGTAAATTTTAAATTTAATGACGTCATCAAAACATTTGACAACTTCGTCGCATCGTGTTTTATCCTGTAGAAACACGAGGAAAACTATGAGAGAGAAAAAAAAAGGGTTTTTAAGGAAAATTTTTTTAAAATATTTATTCACTACAGTTTTTTTTTTGGATTAAATTTCAATTTGATTCTTTTCCTTTTTTCTTTCGAATGATGATGATGATGATGATGATTTTTACGTTTGCCTTTGCAGATACCATCGAACAATCACAAAATATTCAAAGCTACTACTTACTTAAACTAATTTCAGTCGCATGCAGTCGTTTACAAAAAAATTTTTTTTTAAATAAATAAATAAAAAGCGGTGCACTGTTTCTATTCGATAAAAAAAAAAAGTAAAAAAGAAATTAATAATAATAATAATAATAATAATAATAATACTAATATCGGTGTTTTAAAAAAAAAAGGAAACAAATAAAAAGCATATATAAGAAGGATGTCGTGTGCGTATGTGGGGAAAAAATAAAAATAATAAAATGATAATTTAACACTCCCCCCTCCCCTACCCCCCCAAAAAAAAAACAACAACTACAAAACGTGTAATAAATAAAATATATATATATATATAAAAAATTAAATAATAATAATAATAGTAATAATACAATGTAGTTCCTTTTAAAAATACAAATCATTAAATATTTATTTTAAAAAGACCACATTATATATATGCATATCTATTTGCATAACAACGTCTTCTTAAAAAAAAAAAAAAAATAGAGAAAAGAAAAAAAGAAAATTTCATTTAATCAAACGAAAGCAAAAAAAAACCTTTCCCATTGAAAAAAAAAAAAAAATCTGATTTATCAAATCAATAAATAAGAAAAATTCTAATTATTATTATCATCCTGTCGAAACGACGGAAAATCATAGTAATAATAATAATAACAACAATAATCAAACTACATATACGTGAATATATATATATAAATCAGTCTTGAATAAATTTTTCAACTAAAATTTAAAAAAAAAAAGAAAATTTTCTTTTTGACAGTTAAAATCTAGCAAGCACAAAACAATAAAAAAAAAAATAAATACGTTTGGAAACCGACCTCATGGATTGATTACATTTAAATCAAGCGATCAAAACTAACCTGGAGCGTTGACGGCCCCGTTGTTGGTACTTTTCTCAACAGCTGTTGCACGACAGAAGACCTCGCGACTTTGGGCGCATTTGAATAATTGTTAAAATTCGTTTGTTGCTGCTGCTGCTGGGGTTGCTGTTGTTGTTGTTGATGTTGTACTTCCGTCATGTGTATTGTCGATATGTTTGCGGATTCGAGAGCCGCTCCCTCGTTGACTTTCCCAGAAGAACCCTCCTGCATATTCAATTTAACTTCTTTGTCAATATATACACTTTTTACAGGTTTTTGTACAATTTCTTCAAACGTGTTTGATGATTCCCTCGGTGTCTCGGTAACAGGAACTTGATTTAAAACGGTCAAAGAAGATGCTCTCGAATCATCCGATAATTTTCCATCTGATTTTTCCAATTCTCCATCATCGAAAATTTCTTCTTCCGCGGGTACCGCATCCGTGACATCATCCGTGGATTTTATTGCTTGAGGCATTTTGACCTACAAAATTTAAAAAATTTTAAAAATTTTTTTATAAATCGACAAATTTTTTTCAAGGCTCTCGAAAATTTCTTTTTATCTCATTGTACCTGGTATGATTTTCCAAATGCCTGATTAAATTTTGGTAGGGTTCCCGCAGGATCGTTAACGGCTTCTAAAACTAAATACTGGCACAAGGATTCCGATGAATTTCCATCAGTTTTATTATTATTATCCGAGTGTGAAGAATTTGCCGGTGATTGATGAGGAGAATCCCCGTTTGAACCGTTGTTTAAAGAATCTGAAGAACCATTTTTCTTTTTCTTCGGAGGAGGAGGAGATTCGTCACTACCATTTTCATCACTAATCGTTCTTTTAATGGCACGAAAAGTGATACATGTTTTCTGATCGTCTCTGAACAACAATTCATTGAATTTATTCGTCGACGTATTCTCGGACTTTTCGCCATCTCCTTCATTGTTTTGTACCAATATTGTTATTTTTTGATTGTTTAATACTTGTTTTTTAATAAAAGCGCTTTCCGTTTGTACCGTCGATGGACTAGAATTTGATTTATTCATTTTTTTGCTTTCTAACCCAATTTGCTGCTGGTTTCCAGCATTCAAGTCTTGTGGAGATTCAGTATTGTTTCCGTTGTTCGTTCCGACGCCGGCGGGTAAAGATTCGCCGGAAAAGTCAGAATTTTCCATCTGATTCAGTAACGATGAAATAACAGTTTGCGGAGTTTCAAAATTATTTTGCTTTGCCATCATATCGTTCGATGACGAACTCGCGTTGCCTGGTTGAATATCCTGCTGTAGTGGATTCACGACAGTGTAATGAATGGTACTGCTATTAGAATTTTGACTTATCATCACGTTTTGAACGCCGTCACCCTGATTGCTCACGTGAATTGAATTCCGGGAATTTGGTACTAAATACTGAGAAGTTGATGAGGTTATAGGAGATAAAACGTTACCCATTGGATTTCGTTTCAATACTGTCGCTAAAATATTTCTATTCGGCATCACGCTACTCGAATCTAATTTTACGGAAGGAGAGGAATTTATGATTGCTATGACATCACCGCTTTCTCCGATTGAATTTTGACTTGTTGCAGCGGTGGATGTATTCAATTCTACGTTTTCGAGAGATTGCGCACTTTGGTTTAAACCGGATCCACTCGGAACGATTCTTACTACTTCGTTAAAAGGTAATTTATTACTAATTGCATTCGAAGAAATGTAACTCCTATTGTTAAAAGCATTGGTCGTAGGAGTTCCTACAGGGCCAACGTTTTTCAATTCTAAGGTGATCGGAGCCACGCCAGAGACACTGTTAATAAACGCGGGGTGAGTCGATACGTCTTCTTGTTCTATAACAACTTTTTCTGTACTGTTGTTTGTTGTTTGGGCTTTGACAACGGATACATTGCGTTTTGTGCTTGAAGCGTCACTTACCAACGTATTCCTATTCGTAGCGGGTAGGTTTTTTTGCAGTATAACAGTATGAGGCGCTTTGGCATTGTTAACCCGAAATGTTTGTGGAACTTGATTTGTCAGTAAATTAGTTACGACAGAATTTTTCGCAACTGTATTATTTCGCGTCAAAAAATGACCGTCACCGTCTGATGCGATTCGCAATGTATTCGCTTTCGAAGTATTTATATAATTAACGTTAGATCCTGAGATAACACTTAACATTGTCGTTTCGTTTGAAGGCTTTGTTTTAGTTGCATCTACCTTGGATGGAATATTGCTCTGAGTAAGATTAGAATTTTCCAACGATGACCGTGAATTTGAAACTCCTTGAACGGAGACATCTGGAGTAGAATTTAAAGCCGCGTTGGACCTCGTTACATTCGAATTAGATTCTTCAATTTTTCTCACTTGTGTGACACTGTTTGAACCGGTAGTCACGTGATTGAATACCGGACTCATTCCATCTCTGATATTTTGAACTCCGAAACTTTTACCTAATATCACATTTGGTCTATCACTTTCGACAACAACTCTGGTGGCATCCACACCAGGTACGGTTACGACTCGAGCAGTTTGAACTGGTGCTCGAGCCGGTTGAGTGATTGCAAAACTTTGCGTAGAATTTTTTAAACTGTTAGAAGTAGTAATAAAGCCAACGACGGAGTTTGTTGTGTTTTGACAGTCTGTATTTTGAGCCGGACCAGTTAAATTGCTTTGGTTAAGAGAAGTTCTATTCACGATAGCCATGTATTGAGGTTGCCCAATAATTTTACTACCACCCGGTCTCACTCCAGTTGCTGACAAAATCTGATTAGTTGTAACGTAAGTTGTTCCGGATCTGCTGATCGGAGTAACTCTCGTCAAGGCTGAAGATAATACAGAAGCGTTTGTTGTAACGGGCGTACTCAGGTAATTAACTATTGCATTTTGATTTAAAGGCTGACTAGATGTAGGCGGTTTTCGAGATCCTTGCGATTCACCTTCCGTTTTAGGTTTCGATGTGGATGATGTTAAAGTCGTGTTTCGTGATACTGTGGAAGACGTTACCGTAGTAGTTTGCGTCGTCACAGCTGAGGATTGTACATTTTGAGATCCTTCCACTCCTTGAGAATCATGAACGTGAACAACATTTACCGTAGCATTATTAGTAACGTTAGGAATATTTGACACCGATATTAAATCTTCTTTAATCGTTCTTATCATATCATTGTATTTTTTCGTTTGAACCCCACCCGTTCTGAAATGCAGTTCCATGTCTTTACCTCCGAAAGAAAACCGTTCGTTTTGTGTGATAAATTTGTTATCATTGCAATCAAAAACCGTATTTTTGTTATTTAAAATCATTTTTCCCCCTAACGTATTCGAATTATAACAATTTTCATTAACCGATTCTACAAGTTCATCCCCTTTGGTTTTGTGCGCATTCGGCCGAAAAGCTCGTAATGACTTTAAAACAGCTTGATTACTTTGAGCATTATTAGCAGCCGCGGGTAATCCGTAAATTTTACTAGCTACTATTTCGGATGAAAAGCAATCGTTACTGGAAGATAAAGTGTTTGAATTATTTGCCATTTCCAATATTTTTAACCTTCCGAGAGTTTTTCTAAGATCTTTGGATTTAGCCCGTGATTTTTTACCTGAAATAATTAAAATCATTAGTCGTACTAGCCCCTTTTTTTTCTTTTGTATTTTCCAAAAAAACTATATATATATTACTTCGCTTTTGTTTTTGCCCATCGCTTCCTAAACTATCACTAACACTTCCTGAATCTGAAAATGATTTTAAACGTTTTCGAGGTCTTCCTCTCTTTCTGTTTCTAGGCCTGCTCCTAGAATCCTCTGAATCAGAAGATGATTCTGCGTATCGGCCCATTTGTTTTTGAGATCTTTTTAAAGCTGTTTTAATCAATAATTCTTCAGAATCGTCCGTATTACTCCTTTTGGAGTCGGTATCGAAATCAGTTTCAGTATTTTCATCTTCCAACCACTGTTCGTAACCTTTCTCAATGCAATCGGCCTGAAAAAGTAAAGTTTTTTTTTTTTTTTGAACAACTTCAAAAAGATTACAAAAAAAAAAAAATATTAAATATTACTGTGTGTGCCTTACTTCATCATCGTCGTTTTCAGGCCAATCTTTATATTGATTATAATCGATTTCTAAAAATTTTAATTCTTTTTTACCACTTTTAATAGTGTCTGCTTCATCCATATATCTGTAATTAAATTGAATTTAATTAAAATAATATTTTGAATTTAAAAAAAAAAATTATTTAATTAAAGTAACATACCTGAGACATCGACTAGATAATTCACCCCATTCTAATACCCACGTTAACAAATGATATCTATTTGAACCGAGTAAAGTTACAAGGTCGGCACAAACTTGGGGTGATAAGCCAAGTTTTTCGGCTTCTAATACTTGACTGGGAGCTGACAAAACATCGTAATTTAAACTTTCCGTAACCGTACTTCCTTTGATCAAAATTAAAGCGTCTAAACTTCTTTCCTTCTTTTTCTAAATAATAATTAAAATAAGTTAAAAAGAGTTAAAAAAAAAAAAAAAAAAAAAACAATAAATGTATTAAATGTAGCATTGTTTACTTGTTCACGATCCACGGATTTTTGAGAAGTTGGAGTACCCGTAAAATCTCCGCATTGGAAGCAGAGTTCTCCTTCTGGACCAACACCATCGTATGGCAAATGTAGGGCACATCGATTGGATATCTACATTAGGAAATTTGTAAATAATTAATTCATAAAATCTCGGAAAAATCTCAAAAATTTGACTAGACTAAAACAAACCTCAACAAATGCACCACTATCTTGAGAATCATTATTCACAGAATAGTCTGTTGTCGTTTCTTTTCCCTCAGTTTCTTCACTAGATAAAGATGATAAACCTTCAGAGAGAACACCAACTTCAAGACTTTCCTGAGATGTGGAATGTGGAGATAATTTACCACTGGCTACAGCTTCTTCTTCAACTCTTTGATAAATTTCAGTTGATGGATGTATTGAAAATGCAGTAAGTACAAACTCTCGCCTAACTCCACTGTGATCTTTCACCTAAACAGGAAAAATATTATGAGATATTTACAAAAAGTAAAATTACATTGCAAAATGCAATTCGAAAATAAATTTTATTACTCACAAGATCTGCCAAGGCTAAAAATTTAGAAGCTAAATGTTTTTCATAAGCCGTCATTTGATCTTTATCATTTTGAAGTTTGACTCTTTCTAAATAATTAATATCAGCAGTCAATGCCCTAATATATAACTCCATGATTAAAGAACTATAAGTTTGATTTCCCAACTTTTGAGACAGCTCGGTTAAAACTTCTGCCATCAAATAAATGTGTTCGGAAGTTTCAGCTGGTTGCATTACTTTTCGAACTTCATTATCTATGTCATTTTCTGCAGGGTTACATGTAGACAGCCACTCACTAAAAAATTATGATTTAATCATTTAGTATAAAAGAGTTTAAAATATAAATTAAGTACTGTCAAATTAAAATAAAAACATGCACAAAACGAATAAAGTTAATAAAATTAAATAAAGTGTACATACTTGATTAAATTTTTTAGATGATTTGAATTAGGTATGGTTCTAGACAGCATAGATATTGTAACAAAATATCTTGAGGCCACTGCAGCAACTTGATGTGAAAATTTCCATATTTTTTGCTCATGAATATCACTTCGCTTTTTAAGGCGAACAACAAGATAATATCCATTGTTGATGGATACCGACTTTAACTGAAATAAATTTATACAAATTTTAAAATCACATGATCTATGATTTAAAACAAAAAATTATGTTAAAAAATAGTAAAAAAAAAAAAATTTTATTTAATGATTTACTTACAGCATTAATGATACACTCTAATTTTTTATATTTGTATAAGAGGCAGAGGTAAATATCAAAAATAAAATTGTACTCATTAATTGTAAAAAAACTCATTAGGGCAACATTTCCATTACTAAGTACTCCAAAGCAAGCTTCAGCAAGCTTTATAGCAACTTTTTCACACCTATTTGAACACAACATGGTTAATCTAGTGACTATTAAAAGACCCCTTTCTGATTCGCAGAATTCAATAACTGAAAAGATATAAAAGCATTTCATTAAAATCCACTCACATTTTTTTTAATCGTTTCAGTTAAAAAAAAAAAAAAAAAAAAAAAACTTACTTTGTTCTGGTGTTGCTGGACTGGGATCTTTATGTAAAATTCTTTCGAGGCTTGGTAATGTCCATGGATCATTAACTAATTCGACTAATTTTTTAAATTTTTTATTTAGCCATGGCATTTCTTTACATAAATCTGTTCTACAACGATTAAGCATTTGCATCAAATGAGTTTTTGACACAGGTGACATTTTTGGCCATTCTCCTTGCAGCATTATATTTAATGTATCTCTGTAATATTAATATTTTTTTTTAAAGATAAAAAAAACCAAAATAATATCGAGTTATAGCCGATAGAGTTTTGAACTTACTTATACATTTTTTCCACAATACAAATGGCAGCCAGTGGTCGCTGTTCTTTGGCAGATGCTGCTATTCTTTCCCAGGTCATAACAAGCACATTTACTTTATCTGCATATTTCTTTTTATCATTTTCTAATGTTTCTTTCAGTCTCTGAAAAGGGGGAAAAAAAAAAAAAATTATTATTTTCTGAAAAAAAAACTTGGCATAAAAATAAATTTTAAATTAGACACAAAAATGAAATTACCACAACAAATATTAAAAAACTTTTTTTTTTATTAAACATTTTTAACTGATATTAATATTATTAATCACTCAAATTTAAGCACCTAAAGAATTTTAATTAAAAACTTTGTTTTAAAAGTTAAAGAAAAAATATTTGAAACATTATTAAGTATTTTACATATTTTCAAATTGCAATTTTACAAAATTTCGCGGCTTTAATTTATTACAACAGTATCAGAATATATATTAAGTAATTTTTATGTTTTAATCAGGTATATCAATCTACATATCTGACTAGGAGCGCTATAAAAATATGATTTTGTTATAATTTAATGATATTAAAATAAACAAGTACTTTAATCCTACAGTTAGAATTAAAAGCTTAGTATAAAAAAATGAAAACGAAAAAATGAAAAAACCATGAACTTTATTCTAAACATTTGAAGTAAAAATAAATGTACACGAAATTCAAGCTTTTTTCGATAAACATACACAAACTATTTAATTTCAACCATTTTGTAAATCGATAAGTTAACTCTTCATAAGATAAACAAGGGATTAGAAAAATTTAAAATGCATTTGTATGCAAACAAAATACAACTATATTATTATTAAAAATTAGATTTGTCAAATTTTTTTGTAACCAAAAATTTTTTACATTTCACAATTTAATACACGTACCTTCAACATTTGAAGAACGTGATTGTTTCTCTGAGCGACGTGTGTCATTTTATGACTTTGGCTTTTACACATACAACGAAGCCATTTTTCTTTTTAATGGAGTGTATTGGATTTTGCATGTGACGTCAAAAGTAAGAGTACTCGCCTATTATTAGGATATGGCTGCATTAAAACAAAAAAAACTAACATTTACTTTCCTCAATGTTAATTCGTATCTAATAATTCCATTATATTATTTATTTAAAAATACATTTTCATTTTTTACACCGTTTTATAATTAATATTTAAAAACAAACTGATTTTAATTTTAATGACACGTTTTTTTTAAAAAAAACTATATTGTAAAAAACGCGCGTTTCTATATATATACAATATTTTACATTTAAAAAGTTTTCTTTTAAACGAAAATTCCTTCGATTTTGATTTTAAAATGACGTTTTAATAAAAATATCTTTTAAATTTATAAATCTTACATTTTATTTTTAAGAAAATATTCATAGATAATCAAAATTTTTTGAAATTTATAACAACTCCTATACGGTTGTACAGTAAAGCCTTAATATTTTTTTAAAGTTATTAACTCATTACCGAAAAAGTAATTTTATAAAATTACTTTTTAAAATACGATTTTTATAAGAATTGTATAAAAAATAGTAATAATAAAACGAAATGAAACAAAAAATAATATCAATTTCACCTTTTTGAATTCCCCTTTTGAAAAATGTTTATTTACTCTATGGAAATAGAAACGCGCTTAGTTAGGGTTTCTTGAGAACGATAAAATTGAGTAGGATGACTGTGAGATTGAAACGGAAATTTTAGAATTTATCAGTTGATAATTTTTTTTATGTCATTTTTTTCAATTATTTTGCCTTAATGTTTTTGTTATTTAAAATAAAATGATGTGGTAAGTTATTATAATTATTATTTTAAACATAAACAATGCGATCGAATTATTAAAATAAAAATTTTTTTTTTTCATTATATCCAAAATGAATTTTATCTAACTTTGACGTTCTTTTTTTTTCCATGTATCAAAGAAATGTCATTGAATGATATGCTGAAGCGTTAAACCAGCATAATTTTTTTTCGTTAATAATAAATTGGCGTCTTAATCATCATTAAAATTTATTTAGATAATTATATTTACGTGTATAATTAACTTTTTACTTACGAATTACATTTTATTGCGATATTTGAATCACTGAAACGAAAAAATTTTTTAACTTTATTTTTGAACGTATGAATGCAAAGAACACCATCTGAAATCTTTTAATTAATTTTTTTTTAATTAAAAAAAGAAGAATTTTCTCGAATTTTTTTCGTATTTTTTCTTTCAACTGTAACTGCCACCCTTTGAATTTAATTAAATCGATAACTATGAGTAATAGTCGTTACTCATTTAATTAATTTAATATTACAGGTGCTTTATGATTCTTCCATCCACTGAATAATTTAAATGATTTTGTGGACTTATTTTACAAGTCTTCATCAGGTAGGTCCTACGACTTTAACGTGCATTTAACGTTTTTTTATAATCATCAAATAATTTGAAATATGTAATTTAGAATGATTGACCCAAGTTCTTCTGAAGAAGAAGGAGATGAAGAACAAGGAAACCATCATCAAACCCATGAACCCATACGATCTCACAGTCATGTAAAACAAATCCACAGCCACCCAACCCCAAGCCAACTTCATACCAATGGTGCTTCTAATTTGGAGGTGCCTGGTAGTACTAGTTTGCCTAGGTAAAATTTTTTTCTTAAGAATCTCATAAAAGACATCATTATTTGGAATTTAAAATTAAAAATCTTTTGGATTTAGATCTGTTTCTCCAGTAAGTGCTGTTTCATCAGAAACTTTAAGTGTTAGGGCTAATTCTCTCCCAAGACCAGCTAGTCCAAGTCCTTCAATTGTCAGTGAAAAAAATGAAGTTGATCTTCAGGTACATGAACTTTAAATTTTTACATTAGATGGGTCGTTTTAAATTAAATATACAAAATTATTTATTATCGTTAAATAATACAGGATAAACAGGAGCGGCAGGAAGAAGAAAGAAAGCGCCGTATTCAGCTTTACGTTTTCATATCTCGGTGTATAGCCTATCCTTTTAATGCCAAGCAGCCGACTGATATGACTCGACGTCAAATGAAAATCACGAGGCAACAACTGGAAACGATTCAAGGAAGATTTCAAGTAATTTTTTTTAAAAAATTCAAGTCATCCTAAAATATCTTGTAAAAATTTTTTAGATGCACTAATCGTATTACTTTTCAGGCGTTTTTAAAAGGTGATACACAAATAATGGCCGATGAAGCTTTTCAAAATGCCGTTCAAAGTTACTATGATATTTTTTTAAAATCTGAAAGAGTAGCCAAAATGGTTATGTCAGGTGCCTGTTCACAGCATGATTTCCGTGAAGTTTTTCGAAATAATATAGAAAAAAGAGTGAGGTGATTATCAATCGTCATAAAATTATTCATCAGTAATTAAGTTTCGTTTTAATGAGATTAAATTAAAATTTAAAAAATTTACTCTTTTAGGTCACTTCCAGAAATAGATGGTTTAAGTAAAGAAACGGTTTTAACTTCTTGGATGGCAAAATTTGATTGCATTTTTAAAGGCAAGGAAGGACAACGAATTGAAAATTAATACAATGTGTTAATAATGTAATGAAAAATTAATTTCTTATTTATATTTAGTTGGAGATGATGATTCAAAGAGGCCATCAAGAATGCAACAGCAATCACTCAACAGTGAATTAATTTTGTCAAAAGAACAACTTTACGATATGTTTCAGCAAATATTAGGAGTGAAAAAATTCGAACATCAATTATTGTTTAATGCATTACAATTGGATTCGGCTGACGAACAAGCTGCTGCCATTCGTCGTGAATTAGATGGTCGAATGCAAAAAGTTTCAGAAATGGAAAAAGTTTGTATATATTTAAAAAAAAAAAAAAATTTTTACACTTCTTCATCAAATTAAATTATACAATTAATTATTACTTTTTTTGTTGTAGAATCGAAAATTAATGCCTAAATTTGTTTTGAAAGAAATGGAATCTTTGTACATTGAAGAAGTAAAATCATCCATTAATTTATTAATGGCTAATTTGGAATCTCTTCCCGTTTCAAAAGGATCACTTGATTCAAAATATGGATTACCGAAACTCAAAAAATATAATCACAGGTGTATAAAATTTCATTATTTTAAAAAATAAAACACATTTTACATTTTACTTCTTCTTCATTTTATTTGTTTATGGAACAATATCATTTAGAGTTTAGGAACAATATTTGTTTTAGATCGCAGGGTTCATTGGCCAAATTAGAAGGTGATGTCGCCGACACTGACACTCAACTTACCAAAATGGATGTCGTACTTACTTTTCAACTCGAAGTAAGAAAATTAAATTTAATTAAATTAATTTAATTAAAAAGAAATTTTTAATTAAAAAAAAAAAAAAATCATTTTAAGGTTGTGGTGATGGAAGTTAAAGGTCTTAAGTCGTTGGCGCCTAATAGAATAGTTTATTGTACAATGGAAGTTGAAGGTGGTGAAAAACTTCAAACGGATCAGGCTGAAGCCTCAAAACCTATGTGAGTATTTTAAAATTATTTAAAAATAATAAATATTAATTTTCGTAAGTTTTAATTTTTTTCATCTTGTAAACCTTTAGGTGGGATACTCAAGGAGATTTTACAACCACTCATCCATTGCCAGCGGTAAAAGTTAAATTGTACACCGAAAATGTAGCCATGTTAGCCATAGAAGATAAAGAGTTAGGAAAGGTGACGTTAAAACCCACTCCGTTATCTTCTAAAGTAAGTTTAGTATTTTAAAGAGGATAACGGTTTCTTCAAATTATTATTTAATATACAAAATTAACAACGTAGGTACCAGAATGGCATAAGATGACCGTCCCGAAAAATTTACCAGATCAAGATCTTCGTATAAAAATTGCCTGCCGAATGGATAAGCCTTTAAATATGAAACATTGTGGTTATTTGTATGCATTGGGAAAATCCGTGTGGAAAAAATGGAAAAAACGTTATTACGTTTTAGTTCAAGTATCACAATATACTTTTGCCATGTGTAGTTACAAGGAAAAAAAATCAGAGCCTTCTGAAATGATGCAACTTGATGGTTATACAGTTGATTATATCGAAGCCGGAAGTGGTAAGTACAGACGTGAAAATCAATATTTTTTATGTATTTACTGGCTTTAATATAAAATTTGTTTCTCACAGCAAATCTAATGGTTGGAATGGGTGAGAAAAACAAAATATAAAACTTTTAATTTTGTTTAAACAAATTATCAAAAAAATTACTAAATTTATCCCGTTTTAATTTAGATTTGGAAGGAGGAAGATTTTTCTTTAATGCCGTGAGAGAAGGCGATAGTATTTTATTTGCTTGCGACGATGAAAATGAATGTCATTTATGGGTTATGGCAATGTATCGTGCAACTGGACAAAGCCATAAACCGACACCTCCGATCACAACAACAGCTATTACTATATCTAAAATTCAAGGAGGTAATTGAAAATTTTACAAAAAATACTTTTACGCTACTTTCCGAGTATCCCAATTAAAAAAAAAAATTTAAAAAAAAATTAACGCAGATGCAGACAGAGCTCGTAAACACGGAATGGAAGAATTTATTTCTGCCGATCCTTGCAAATTCGATCATGCCGCTCTATTTAAAACATTGCAAACCTTAACACTTGATTATCGATTAAACGATCCTTATTGTTCTTTGGTAAGTTAATTAAAAAATTCAACAAATTCTTATTGTTATTAATTCTCAAAAAAAAAAAAAAAACACGAGTAACATATATATATATATATATGTATAAATTTTTTAGGGATGGTTTAGTCCTGGTCAGGTATTTGTTTTGGATGAATATTGCGCCAGGTACGGAGTGAGAGGTTGTTATCGTCATTTATGTTATCTAAGCGATTTATTGGACAGAGCCGAAAAGAGTATCATGATTGATCCAACTTTAATTCACTTTAGTTTTGCCTTTTGCGCTAGTCACGTTCACGGTAACAGGTGAGTTCATTTTTACAAAACATTTAACAATAATAATAATAATAATAATAATAGAATTTCATTAAAAAAAAACTTTCCTTTGAATTTAATTAAACTTTTTTTTTACTAAAAAATTAATTAGAAAGTTTCTCTTGAAAGTTGAGTTTAATTTGACAAACAATTCTTTTGTTAAATTTTGAATTAATTTAATAAAAAAAAAAAATAAAAGTTTCGATTCCATTGTTCTACCATCAATCAATTTTTTTTTTTTTTTTTTTTTTTTAACAATCGTTTTACGTGCATCAGGTAAATTAAATGTTTATGTTTTGTTTAAAATTAATCAAATATAGAATGCGCTTTTATTGTTGTTATCCTATGTATTTAAACTTATTAACAAAAAAAAAGGAAAACATAAATATTAAATTTTTTATTAAAGCGAATAACACATACAAAAACACACACTAAATAATAATAATAATAATAATTAATTTATTTAACGATAATGAGGAAGGGTGGTTTGTTTTTGCTTTTATACATTGGGTCATATATATGATGATGATTCCCTTTAAATAACAAATTGATATATCTTGTTTCCTAACCATTGGATTATATGCAGCACGACGGTGAATCTGACTCAAGGAAACAACTCTGTTATCGTAGATGTCGTCAGGTGAGATATTGGGTTTTAGGTATATTTAAAATGACATCACGGTATACACACACACACACACTTCTAATAATATCATCAGGAATAATTCACAACTCACAGTATTGTTATTAATTTTTTTTAATATCATAATTATATACATATTTATATATTTTCACTTGGTTGGTTCGTTTTTTTTTATTTTGCTTTTCTTTTTTTTTTTTAATAATAAATAATCGCTGTGGGTAGATAATAATGTCGTATTATTTAAATAAATAAAACTATAAGTAATATTTAAATAATAAATGTTGGTGTTTGCAACAATTATTATTATTATTATTATTATTGTTAAGTAGTCTCGCTTGTGTTGTTGATACATTTTTAATATGCTTATAATAATTTTATGAAAATTGTGTAATTTAAGAGGATATCATCGATCGATTTCGATTTTTTTATGTGTAAAACGATTTATCGATCGATAATTATCGATAATTAATTATTATTCCACAATAATTATTATTATTTATATTTTGTGATTAAAAAAAAAAATCAATAAAGGGTGTAAAATTATTGTCCGTGTTTTTATTAATATTGGAGAATTATTTTGATTATTTTTGTTTATTATTATTATTATTATTATTTTGTCATTAGAAAATGATTTGACGATATCGTTAAGTTATTATTATCATTATTTTTAAATGGATTTTTGCGTCAATGAAATAATACAACGAAAAAAATTCTTATTTCATTTTGTTTTTTTTTTTAATAATGATTTTCGTTTAATAAAAGTATTATTATTATTATTTACGTAAAAGCATGTTTTTTTTTATGTGTATAAGTCAAACGATTATTTATTTATTTTTTTTTGAAGTATGTGTGTGCGTGTATCATCGAGCACGAAAATCTTTTACTGCACTCTTATAAAAAAAAAAAATCTGATATTAAATGTCGATATTTACCCCCCTCTCCCCCTCCTACCAAAATTTGACTTTTATTTTTATGAATAATTTGTAATAATATTATTTTATTTAAAATTGTTCCAGTATCGAATCATATATATATATATAGAAAATTGCATGGTAAATGATAATAATAATAATATTTTTTCTAAATTAAAAAATTATTAATAAATAAATAAATGAATAAATTAAAATCTATGGAAAATAAATGGTGGAAAATTTTTTTTTTTTTTGCATGTATATTTTAATGTTTTGATGTCGATTTTTTTTTTTTTTTATATATTTAAATTATTAATATAACATGGACAATAAAAATTATTTGTTATTTTTTGGGGGGAGGGTAAGCGGGGATGCGAAGGGGCGAGGGGGGATCTATTTAAACGGGTGATGGAAACATTTCAGTAAAAAAAAAAAAACACGAATCATGCTGAAAAAAAAAATAATTAATTAAACATTTATATAAATAAATTAATTAATTAATTAAAAAATAAATATAAAAATCGACTGATAATAATGATAATAATATAATAATCACAATTTCTTCATCAATTTTTTTGGATAAAAAAAAAAAAATTTTTTGTTCCAGGCCGGATGGCGTTGGTACCGTCACACACGAAGAAAAAGAAAAATTTCAAGAAATCAAAGACAGACTTCGAATCTTGTTGGAAAATCAAATAACTAATTTCCGGTAAAAGCACAAAAAAATAAAAATAAATTATTGATTTTAATAAAAGGGGAGAAAAATAATAATAATAATAATGATGGTGGTATGATTTTAGATATTGTTTTCCATTTGGACGACCCGAAGGTGCTTTGAAAGCTACCCTTTCCCTTCTGGAAAGAGTTTTGATGAAGGATATCGTAACACCAATACTACCGGAAGAAGTTAGAGGAATGATAAAGAAAAGTTTAGAAACTGCTGCTCTTGTTAATTATACAAGATTATCTGGAGAAGCTAAAATAGAAGGTTTGTTAATTTAATATTTATTGATAAATTTGAATCCAGTGCTGGAATTCGTTATACAAAATTGTTTTTTGTTTTCCCTCCAGAGGATCTTAACGGTGAAACGATGGTAACCCCAAGTAAAAAATTAGAAGATCTCATACATTTGGCCGAATTGTGCGTTGATCTTTTACAACAAAATGAAGAACATTATGCTGAAGTAAGTAAAATAATACCAGAAGGTCAACAACAACAGCAAAAATTTTAATTATTAATAATAATAATAATAATAATAATAATTGAATTTATTTGGTGTCACTTTTTTTTTGCTCGTTACGTTTCACACTGGGCTAGGTTGGCTTTTTTTTTTTTTTTTTTTTTTTTTGGTTGTTTAATTTTAAATGTAAAATTTCAAATTTAAAAGTAAAATTTTTGATTCTATGTTGTAAAGCCTTAAAAGAAATTTTTTTTTTTTTTTTTTTTTTAGTTGGGAAATTTAACAAAAAAAATTAATTTATTTTTTATTTATTTATTTATTTATTTTTTCGTTTTCAAATAATGGGCAAAAAATACGAATTTATTTAAATTAAATCGTCCCGGAATATGGAAATAGTTAAAAAAAAAAAAAATTTTAAAAGAAAATTTTTTTTGAAAAGAAAATTTTGCTCATTGCTTGATAAGTTTTTTTTTTTTTTTTTTTTTTTTTATCCAATTTTGTCAGTGTGTCTAAACTTGCTTCTCTCTCTATTCTTTTCTTTTCTGCATAAGGATAAGGTAAGTATCTGTTTTCTTCCTGGAAAATTTTTTTTTCTTTTTTTTTCTTATTTTTTTTTTTAAAATTGAAAAAGTTTCATTTAGTTACCTTTTGAAAAAAATTTTCCCGATTCTTTTTTCACATGCTCATTGAATGCCTCATTATTATTAGTTAATAAATAAATGCACATTTTAATTTTCAATTATTATTATTATTATTATTATTATTACAAAAAGCTTTTTGGAAAATTCTCGTACCCCCCCCCCCCTTTCATTTATTTTTTCATTCTACCATTCTCTCTCTTCTCTCTCCCTCCTCAAGTGTTATTACATTATTTAAAAATTAAATTTTTGGTTTTTTTTTAAAAATTATTATTATTATTATTATTATTATTATTATTATTATTATTATTTAAATATTTGCATAAAATTTAATTGAATTTAAATTTAAACTCAATTTTTTAAATGCACATTTAAATTTATGCTTTTAAAATCATTTTTTGTGCCTTGAAAAGCGTTCAGTATTTTTTAATTAAAAAAAAAATTTTATAATTAATTATCTTAATAAATAGATTCATTAATAAATAAATAAATAAAATAGATATTGCACGTTTTTTTCTTTTATTAACATAACAAAACAAAACAATTGTTGTTATTATTTATTTCTTGTGCAATTAAACTCATTAAATTTTTTTTATAAACAAAAAAAAAAAAGAAAAAGTTTATAGCATTTTAGTCAACCTAAATATTTTATTTTAAAAAATAAATAATAATAATTTATTAATTAATAAAAAGGCATATAAGGACTGTTGCACTTTTGTTGCTTATTTAGATTAGATTAATTATTAAATAATTTTTAATTATAATAAAAATAATTAATAATTAATAATAATAATAATAAAATTTTTTTTTTTTTTTTTTTAATTCTCAGGCTTTTGCTTGGTTTAGTGATCTTTTGGTCGAACATGCTGAAATATTTTGGTCACTATTTGCTGTTGATATGGATCAGGTACTGGCTGAACAACCACCGGATACCTGGGATTCATTTCCACTTTTTCAAATATTAAATGATTATCTTCGAACTGACGGTAAGGAGAAGATGAAAAAGTAACAAAATTATTTCAAATTAAAAAAAAAAACCGCCATTACTTATTCCAGGTTCATGAGGTAACCTTTTAAAACGATTTGATTTTTTCCAGACAATTTAAAAAACGGTCGTTTTCATCAGCATTTAAGAGATACTTTTGCACCTTTGGTTGTACGTTACGTCGATCTTATGGAATCCTCAATCGCACAATCCATTCATAAAGGTTTCGAAAAGGAAAGATGGGAAATAAAAGGTAACGGTTGTGCGACATCAGAGGATTTATTTTGGAAATTGGATGCCTTACAATCTTTCATACGTGATCTTCATTGGCCGGATCTTGAATTTCGTCAACATTTTGAACAACGTTTAAAATTAATGGCCTGCGACATGATTGAATCTTGCATTCAAAGGTTTTCATCAAATTAATAATATCCACATTTATTTATTATTTTCACAATAATTATAAATTATTAAAAAAAATTTTTTTGTAATTACTTTTCATTACAGGACCGATGCTGCTTTTCAACAATGGTTGAAAAAAGGTGTTACTTTTATATCAACCGATTATATAATACCATCTGAAATGTGTGCCATGGTTAATGTTATTCTAGATGCAAAAAATCAATCGATTAAACTTTGCGCCGTGGACGGTGTGGATGTGGTAAATATACAAAAACATTTTCACGTTCGAGCAGAAGAAGAAGAGAAAAGGAAAGAAATTTAATTAATATTATTATTTTTACATTAAAAGCATCAATACCACACTAAAATAGATGACATGATTGAAAAAACATCGACCGGTATGACACAGGGGATGATTGCTAAACTCATGTCTGTTTTAGAAGCTACCCTATCAAAATTAGGGAGATACGATGAGGGTTCGTTAATTGGTTCGATATTGAGTTTTACGGTATGTTCTCCCCCCCCTCTCTCTCTCTCTCTCTCTCTCTATGAAATAACAAAACCTGAGTTATAATTTTTTTTTGTTTGTTTAAAGAATGTTTCGGGTTCTGGAAAAGATATGGGCCAAGCCTATGTCAACTTTACAAGAAATTGTATGGATCAAATAAGAAGTAAAGTTAACGACGAGTTATGGATACTTAATTTTTTCGAGGTAATAAACAAAAATGACGTCATTAAAATAAATAAATAAATAAATAATTTTGAATTTGGGTTACAGCAATGGTACATGGGTCAAATTCAAATAATTTGCAATTGGCTAACGGAAAGAATCGATCATTCCCTTCATTTGTATCAATGCACTTGCCTTGCCGTTATCGTGAAAAAACTTTATTCGGATTTCGAATTACAAGGTGTCATGGAAGACAAATTGAATTCTAAAATATATCAAACTGTTTCGCAAAGAATGCAAACCGAAGAAGCCACTTGCGCTTTATCGATGCCTCACGGAGGAGGAGACGAAGAGTAAATTTATTTTCGTCAAATTATTATTTAGTTATTATAATACAATTTAAATAAATAAAAAATAAAAAATTTTAGTTATGGCGATGGAAGCATGGATGACGATGGGGGTGAAAGAAAACCGACGGTCACCATACGGGAAACATTGGGAACCGGTGATGACGCAAACGTTGTTTCAAAATTAACAAACGTGACGTCAAACGTTGTTGGAAAAGTTGGGAACATGTTTGAAAAAGGCATTGGAGGCCTTTCGACAAAATTTACAGGAGGAAGTTGGTTCTAGCATATCTCTTTAATATATTTTATTATCGCTTAAATTTTTTTTTTTTTCCCCCAAGACTTGAAATTTTTCAGTTTATTTAGTACCGCGAATCCTTTAAATTCGTCATAAAATAAAATCATTAAAGTTACCACAACAATTTTTATTATTATTATTATTTATTTATTTATTTACGTTTCTTTTTGTTACGTGTTTGTATTATTTATTGTTAAAGTTAATTTTATTTAATTTCCGTTTATTTTGAATGGAATAAACGTTCGTTACGTTGGAATGATAAGAATATTTAATGTATTGTTTATTTTTTTTTTTTTTTGGGTAAAGATTTGTAAAAGTTATTAAAAAAAAAAAAAAACAAAAACAAAAACAAATGGGATACTTTTCTCATTTTATTTATAATAAATATAAGCCTCGATTCTTGCGATAAAAAAAAAAAAATAAATTCTCTACGTACTTTTTATTGTTTTTTTTTTTATTATTTCCTCACCTAATAATCGAAAATTTAAAATGTCTTCGGACGAAAAATAAATTTTTTTTCTTTCAATTTTTTTTTAAAAAAATAGAAAAATTAATTAAAAAAGGAGAAAATTTTTTTTTTATTTCAAACGTTTAAACATTTTCTACAAATAAAAAAAACACTTCGATATTGATATTGAAGCATTGAATTCGGATTTTGAGCATATGAAGTCGAAACGTCCATTTTTTCTTTCTAAAAAAAAATTAAAATTAATAAAGTTTAAAAAAAATTATTTTTAATGTTAAAGATTTTCAGGAGTGTTTTCAAAAAAGAAATTTTTACTTCTATCACAAATCCCAAACCGACGATTATTTGTCTAACAACTTCGTAACTCGGTTCGATTGAATCTTCTTGCGGTACGTCGGAAAAATGATATAATAAAGGTCCGAGATTGATCCAGATTCCTCCAGGTTTTAATATTTTATAAATCGTTTCTATAAATGCTGCGACATTATTAGCACAATCTATGAAAAAACAAGTTGCTACACAATCCCAAACGTTATCCTCTGTATAAACCTGATTGAAAATTATTAAATGATAATTAAAAGTAAAACTTTTTTATAATGATTTAGTACAGTGATAATTTTTACTTCTAAAAAATCACCAGCCGCCATTGTGAATGAAGAATTTGTAGATAAATCTCTTGGATTTATATCTGGAAATGATACTGATTGAGTTTGATGCTCTGGTTTGAGATTATTAACAAACTGGTGAACCCATGGATAAACTTTATGTATGTTTGTGTTACAGCATCTACAAAATAAACATAATAACAAAAAAAATCTAACCTATAAAAATGAGACAATTTTATTTTTAAAAACCAAACTCGAAGGATAAAAATTTATCAAACATACTTATTCAAAACAAATTGAGATGCAAGAAGCATGAATAATGAAAATTCATTTCCTTGACATGTATATCCTAATTTTGCTATTTCAAAAGCTAACCTTCCTAAACCAGCTCCTGGAACTAAAATTTTAACATCTTCTGGCTTTTTACCATCGGGAGGAAATTCCGATAAAATTTCCGTTATTATCGGATCATAACAACTTTTTCTTTCCTGTAAAAATATTTAATTAATGAAATTTTTTTTTTGATAATTATTTTGATGAGTTTTAAATGTGATTAAAAAATTACTTCGGCTCCATTTAAACTCCAATCTCTGACCAATTGTTTAAGAGTAGCTTGAACCCTTTCCATATCGGATTCGATGGGTCTCGGATTAGATAAAACAACCTAAAAAAAAAAAAAAGTAAATTTTAAAAAAAAGTTTTTGGAAAATGTAAAAAAAATAATTGTTGCATACTCACAGGCTGAATGTTATTTTGATCTACTGGATTAACATTTGAAAACATATAATCAGCATCTTTGATTATCATTTTAATTAAATAATCATTGGCTTCTACACAATTTTTAATAATATTCAAATGTTGCAAATAACATTCCATTAGTTTTTGATGATGATCTGGAAGACTTTTAAAATACTGTTCTGATTTGGCTATCCTTTGCAGTGAATAAGTTCTAAAAAATATTAAAAATATTTGTATGAAAAATTAAACATGTTTGAATCAAACTATAGTGTTTGAAACTTGAGGAAAATTTTCCTTTCAATAATACCATAAATTTTATGTTAAAATAATACTACATAGATTTTATATTACAGTAGTACATATATATAAAGGCTTATAAAACAATAAATAAAATTTTTAAATAGGATTTTGTAGAAAAAGATTTTTAAAAAATTTTTTGTTCTTGTTTGAAAAATTTAAAAGTTGTAAAATCATTTTATTTGACACTTTGGTAACAAAAAAAAAAAAACTTTTATTCAATTTTATTTTTTTAAATATAATAATAATAATAATAAATTAAATTACCTATAATATTTAAAAGCGCTAATTACACTCTGAAAATAAGCTCTTTCTTCTTCATCTTCCCATTCGCCCATATTAAAATAAAAATTAATAAATTTGAAATAATTAATAAAAAGGTGTTTAATGTATAAGATATCGTGGTAGGTTTTAAAATTTTGACGTGTCAATAGAAATAAATGCAACTGTAAAAAAAAAAACTTTGCATGTTACTTACGTGAAAGATGTTACAATTTAATGCAAATTTTACATAAATTTAAAAAAAAAGATAAGTTTTTTTTGGTGATGTTTATTAATCATAAATTCTTTTAAAAATTTATAATTTTATTTTTTTTTTGAAATCTTTTTTTATTTACTTGTTGATAAATTAAAATTTAAAAAAAAAAAAAAAAACATTATGAAATGTTATTATGAACTTTTGGGGGTATCGAGGGATGCAAATGACGATGAATTGAAAAAAGCTTATAAAAAATTAGCTTTGAAATGGCATCCTGACAAAAATGTAGATAATGAAGAAGTCGCAAAAGAAACCTTTCAATTGGTACAACAAGCTTATGAAGTTTTGATTGATCCACGCGAAAGAACATGGTAAAATATTTTTATAATTATTGGTTTGTTCAGTTGATGATTTGTATAATTAAGTGAATAAAAAGAAATTAGAAGGGGTTTAAATTTTTTTTTTTTTAGGTATGATAATCACAGAGAAGCCATTCTTAAAGGAGGTTTAGGTAGTGATTACAAAGATGACTCTCTTGATATTCTTCCTTATTTTACAGCATCCTGCTATAAAGGATTCGGTGATGATCCCAAGGGATTTTATGCTGTTTACCAAGAAGTTTTTAATAAATTGGCAGCAGAAGATTCAGAATATATAAAGGAAGATGAACCTGAAATTCCTGGTTTTGGAAAATCAGATTCATCTTATGAAGATGTCGTAGCTCCTTTTTATTCTTACTGGATGTATTATAGCACTAAAAAATCATATTATTGGTTAGATCCTCATGACACAAGGCAGGCTCCTAACAGCAAAATAGCAAAATTAATTGAAAAAGAAAATAAAAAAGTTAGAGATAAAGCCAAAAAAGAAAGAAATGAAGAAGTTAGGAATTTAGTTGCTTTCGTTAGAAAAAGAGATAAAAGGGTACAAGAATGGAATAAAAAGTTAGAAATGAAAGCCAAAGAAAATCAGCAAAAGTCAGAAGAGCATAGATTACAAAAAATTAAAGAAAGAAGAAATCAAATGAAAGATTATAAAGAAAGTGAATGGTTAAAATTTTCAAATGTAGAAAATGACTTGAAGCAAATTGAAGAAAATTTAGCTAAAGAATTTGATGATTATTCTTCATCGGAATATGACAACAGTGAGGAAAATAATGAAAATAATTCTTTTTTCTGTGTCGCATGCAACAAAGTATTTAAAACTGAAAAATCATTTGCCAATCATGAAAAATCTAAAAAACATAAAGAAAGTGTTCAGTTACTTAAAGAAACAATCATAGAGGAAGACAAAGCTTTAAATTTAAATTGTTCTAGCAGCATGAATGATGTGCAGTTACCTGAAGAAGAAATGAAAGAAAATAATCTAGAACCAGAAATTTCCGATACGCTCGCAGATACGAAGAAAAAAAAGAAAAAATCAAAACAGAAAAAATTATTTACAGAAGACTTAAATCAATCAGACAGTGATAATTCAGTAGAAGACTTAAATATTTTATTGGGTTCCAATAAAAAATCTAGAAATAGAACATTAATTAATGACGATTCATCAGATGAAAAATTAGAGAAAAAAAATAAGAAAAAAACAAAAAAACAAACCAAACCTGTAAATAATGATAACAACAACGAAGAAAATTGTGATCAACTTAAAAATTCTGTACAGTCTTTAAAAATATCAGATGACGCCAGCAATGAAAACGTTTCTCCATCTAAAACGTCCAAAAAAAATAAGAATAAAGATATTAATAAAGACATAAAAGTTGATGCAAATTTGGCATGTGCAGTTTGTAAAAATCAATTTCCATCTAAAAACAAATTATTTAATCATTTGAAATCTTCATGGCATTCTGTGTACTTACCCAATTCAGCCACGGCTCAAAAGATAAAGAATCGTCAAAAAGAAAAAAACAGGATGAAAAATTAAATTATTAATTGTTATATATTACTATTAAAAAATAAATTTATTTATTAAAATAATAATCGATTAAAATTTTTTTTTTTTTTTCATCATTCATACTTCCTGTCTTAATCGTTCTGAATTTAAAAAAAAAAAAAAAAAATCACAACTCTAATCGATGGATTTTTGTAATCTCTTTATTAATATTATTTCCTCTACAACCCATAAACAAATTAAAATATTTTTTTTTATTAAAATGTTTTACTTGATATATATATTGTGGTGCAAATGTCGGATTAAAGCGATTAAAACAAAATAATAATAATACTTATAGCAGATTAAGGATGTACTTTGAAAATCCGTTAAAAATTACAAAAGAAATAGAGAATACTATCATCAAATAATACAAAATTAATAATAATAATAAAATTTAAAGTAAAAACGAAACACAGTCTTTATAAAAATAATTAAAACTTGATACTCAACATTAAATAAATACTGGACGGAAAAGCATCACTCAAAAGCATTTTTTTAATATAAACTCTTTTTTTTTTTAATTTTTTACTCGATTGTTGTTACTCCTATCACAGAATCTTAACAATTATCTCAATATTTATTTAAACATATTTTTCACAAACAATATTAATACTCAATTTAAATTATTATTATATTTTTTTATTAAAGTTTGTCGTAGTTAAAAATATTTTTATAAATTTAAATGCTGTGATGTTAACTGCAAATTATCAAAGCTTGTTTTTTTTTTTTAAACAAGTAAGTAAATAAGTTAAACATTTAAAGCATAAATTTGGGGACTCATATTATTAATAAATTAAATTTTCTTTTAATCATTTTCAAACATGATACATACAAACGTCTTAATGCATAACTTAACATTACTAAAAAATGCTATCATTATTAATACATAATAATTTTTTTTTTGTATCGTAACGAAAAATATTTTAAATGAAAAGCAAACATGAAATTATTTAATATTGAGTGTACCTTGTGTGGCATAAATATGCTAAATGTATACTTTAAGTAAGTTAAATTAATAAAAAAAAAAAAAGTAAAAACTATTTATATTATTGTCAGCTGGTCCAATCATTAGTTTGTTGAAGTGTTTTTGTCGTTAACATTTCTATTTCTTGTAAAAGTTGTTCCGTTTCAGTATCCATATCATCTTTCCTGATATCAAAACAAAAAAAAAAGTTTTTAAAAATGAATTAAGTAATAAAAACAAAATAAATTTAAATAACTCACATTTCTATTGTTTCACCCTGGGCATGATCCCACTCTAGAGAATCAGCGGAAGAAATTCTCGACCAAACTTCAGCACTTGTTACACTTTTAGGCTCTTCTTTTTCTATATTCGTAGAAAAAACAGTCATTTCAGGTAAATGTTCCCATTCTAACTCTAAAGAATTTATAGATGCTGGTGTATATTGATTAGAATACTTGCAATCCAAACTGAAACATCATTTTCCATTTAGTAAAATTCGCAAACATGAAAAAATTAATTCGAATAAAAAAAATCTAACCTTTTTAAATACTCATCCTCGTCTTCTTCTAATATTGACCATTCATCATCTAATAATTCCAATCTTAATTCAGAATTATCCTGAAATTTAATAAGAGATAAAATAATATGTAAAATTAAAAAAAATATTAAAATCATTCTTTTTTCTTTTTGTAATTTTTCTCTCTTTAAAACAAATAAATATAATAAAAACTTACGTTGTTTTTATTTGTCACGTTCGTTATTGCTGATATGAATCTTTGAAGTCGTTAAAAAAACAATGAAAAAAAAAAAATAAAAAAACTTAAAATTATAATCACAAGAAAGTAATAATAATAATAATTGTAATATAATACAATAAATAAAATTAATTACCGTTTAATATTTAATTTATTTTCTTTGTAATTAATATTAAAATCATTATTATCGAGCAATGATGAATCAATGACAGGTTCTTGAACAGGTTCTCTATATTTTTCATTAAAATGAGAACTAACGTTTTTTTTTGCCTTAGAATACAATTTATACAAACTAAAAAATAAAAAAAATTTGTTTTAATATAATTTTTGTTTTTTTTTTTTTAAAATGAATAAATTTTACCTGAATACCTGAAATTTTCTCCACTTAGATGGCAATGTCCTAAACAACTACCCATAACAAATCCATAACCTTTAATTATAATAAATCATATAATAACATTTTGAACTTTTTTTTTTTTTAAACAATAAAAAAAAAACTATTAAATAATAATAAATAAATATGAGATGTTAACCGTTTGATGCATTTTATAACACTACAAAAAATAATTATTTTTAATAATAATAGTATTTTAATTCATTACATAATTAATTTTTAATTTTTTTTTTTTTTAAATGAGGCACAAAAAAATTATTGTATGACTCAATAGAATTTTAAGAATTTTTTGGTGTTTATATAAAAAGCCTGCGCTTTTATACAAAATACATGTTCATGAAATTACAGTGCCAACATAGAAAATAATTATATATTAATTTATATTTTTTTTTTATTCGTTTCCCCCGCCCCCCATTTTATAATTTATTTTTCAACGACATAGTTTTAAAATATAATAAAAAAAATTGTATTTTTGTAACGAACGAAATATGTCGTTAGAAATGTCATTGTGTGTAAAATGTCATTTTTTTTTTTTTATTAAGGAAATATAAATAAAATGAAAGATTCACCACGTAAATTTTAAATCGTTTTTTTCTAATTATTACATAACTTTTAAAACATAACTGACATTATTAAAAAAAAAAAAAAAAAGAAAAGAAAAAGGTTTAAGAAGGGAGTTATTATCTTGGTCGTGTGATTTGTTAAAATTTTTTTTAGCGGGGTTATGAAAACGTAATTGCCGTTTGGTATTTGTAAACAAATGTTACATCTTCGCAGCTGTTCCAATTAGTTTGATTTTTTTTTATTAACTTATTTCGATTTATATAAAATCATAAAGATTTTCAATTTTTTATTTGTGGTTAAATCATAATTTTTATAATGTGTTAATATAAGTCATTCATGTTTTAAATACCGTAAAATTATTTTTATTTTAAAAAGAAAAAAAAATTTTATTTCTTCACTTTAAAATGAACGAAGATGCAGTAACTGATTTTTCAGAAGATATGGTAAATAATTTTTTTAATTTATTATCAGGGTCAATAATTTAATGTTTTTATTTAATATCTTGTATTATTTTATAAATGTTTTTCTTTTTGCGTTTTATTATTATTATTTTTTTTATTAATGTTGATTAAATCATCATTGACTAATGGTAACACCCATTTGATTGATAATAACAACTAAAGTGTTATCATTTTCCTCTTATTATTGCGAAATTTTTTTTTTTTTTTTTAATGAAATTTAATATTTTTCATTAATTTATAATTTTAGAATGATAAATCGGAGAATAATTTAAAAATAGTTGTACCTGATGATTATTCTAAACTGAAATATAAAGAAAAATTTGATGAAACGAATAATACTCAAGTTGTGTTAAATGAAATTGTCGATATTGAAAAAGAAAAGGGAGAGTTCGATGTCGAAGAAGAAGATGAAGGAACAGAATCATCTGATGATACTAAAAAACAAGATTCCCCAAAAAGCTTTTTAGATAGTTTAAATTTAGATGTGCCTTCTTCTTATGAAGTAGAGCCTAGTATGTATACATTTGTATTCAGTAATAAAATAAATTAAATTTCAATAAGAAAATTTTGAAAAACTTTAATTTTGTAGTTGATTTTCCAAAAAGTCCATGGCTTAGTATTAATAAAAAATCTAAACTTAATTCTCCATCTGATGAAGAAGAGGATAAATCAATGTTCCAAGTTCAACTGCTTTCAAACTGCCAAGATGTACATTTGATTAAAGGTATTTTTTTAAAACCATTTTAAAAAATTCTACATTTATTTAAATAAAAATAAGACTAAATTCAATAAATATTGATTTATAAATCAGATGAAATGGGAAATGGTAAAAAAAAGAAAGTTATTCCAGTGGCTAATGATATTTTTAATGATACTCATTGCGATGAAAGTTCATTCGATGGTAGCCATACATCAATTGATGATGCTGATTTTGATTCTTATTTGGATAGCCCTGATGAACTTGATGACTCAATCATGGAAAGTATGTTACTTACAAATTAAACTTTAAAAAAATTTTCCTTCAAATTTTTTTGTTATAAACTCTTACCGATCCATTTTTACTTTTATTACAGGACTTGGAAAAGAAGTTGAACCTATACCTGTATTAACTGCTGCTGAAGAAAGGTCTGAGTCACTGTGTTGGAAATCTTGTATGATAGCAGGTGTCGAAAGAAGAATCGACCTCAAAGTTCTTGAACCGTATAAAAGAGTCATTTCTCATGGAGGATATTTATCTAAAGAATCAAGTCATGCCATTGTTATATTTAGTGCTTGTTTTTTACCTGATAGGAGTAGAGCTGATTATGACTACGTAATGAATAATTTATTTATGTAAGTTATTCAAACGGGAAAAAAAAATTACAACTTATTATTAAATTAAATTAAAATTACTTACCAAGTTTTATTATTTTCAGGTACGTTATATCAACATTAGATCAGTTAGTAACTGATGATTACATGGTAATTTATCTTCACGGTGCAACAGCCCGCAGTTGCATGCCTAAATTCAAATGGTTAAAAATGTGTTACCAAATGATCGACAGAAAATTGAAAAAAAACTTAAAAGGACTATATTTGGTTCATCCGACATTTTGGCTCAAAACACTGGTGCTCATGACTAAACCATTCATTAGGTATATTAATTAAAATCGACTTAAATTTGAAAAAAAAATAATAATTATAAATTTTTTAATCGACATTTTTTTTTTTTTTTTTTCTAGTTCTAAGTTCAGTAAAAAACTTTTTTTTATCAATTCATTAAGCGAATTATATAAAATTATTCCAATCGAAGAATCTTGCATTCCTGACAGGGTAAAAAAGTAAGTAATTTTATTAAAATCACCCCCTAATAATAATAATATACATTAAAACCTTAAATGGTAATGGTATTAGTTTAATTTTACAAAAATAGATGTGATTTTAATTATCATTATTATTATTATTTCTTTTGAACCGAAACAACCTTAATGAGTTACATTATCAAAACACTAATTACATATGACAAAACCATACTTCATTTTTTAATCATAATTAACCATTGTTAACATTATTTGAAATTTCTCACTTTTACTTTTTCCTTCCTTCCTTCCTTCTTTTTATTTGTTAATAAATAACCACATTAATATGACATTACTTAGTTTATGTTTTATTAATAGGTATAATGAACTAAAAGAGTTTTTGGAAAAAGAATACTAACTTATCGGTTTGGATACTAATTATTATTTATTAAATTTTATTTTTTTTATTCGGTGAGTAACATTTAACCATAACCGTTGTAAATTTTCATATGATTCTTTTTTTTTTAAATTTTTGATTATATTTTCCTTAATTTTCTTTTCTTTTCTTTTCAGATATGATGAATTAAAGTTTAATATCACTCATTCAACCAAATAATAATATTTAGATTATTTTTTCAATACTCCATATTGTAAATGTTATTGTTAAACTTTGAATGATTGTATATAAAATAATTATTGCTTTGTTGATATCAATATTAAAAATATAATATTTATTTTCTGTTGTGAACTTTAAAATATATATTAATATACCAACTTATGATGATAATATCTTATCAATTTTTTCGGTTAATATCGTTTTTTATTAAATAATAATAATAATAAAATTTGTTTTCTCGTTAGATTTATTATTATTATTAATTTTTTTGTAAGTTTTGTCTGTTATTTCGAATGCAAAATTACAAATCTATGTAAATTTAAGAAAGTCAAATGTATATTAAATAAAATATTATAAGGATTTATATATATTATATTATATTATAAAAACTTGCCAGAAATTTTGTATATAATCAATCAATTCTATTTAATTGATTTCAAAAGTGTCAAAAATTTAGCTTTATTTTGATATTTCAAAACAAAAAAAAAGTTTATCAAATGTTTGTTTTGTTGTTTTATATGTATATTTATATAAATTATAAAAAAGAAAAATTATTAATTTTTTTTTTTAAGCATTGAATTTAATGCTCCTGATCTTATTTCTTATTTACTTAACAATAATTTTATATTTTTATATATATATATTTTTTTTTGATTGTTAGTTACCTTTGAAAGGCATAAAATTTATTTTTTTTTTTTTTTTGTTTAAATTATGTTTAAAATTGTTTAAAAAAAAAAAAAAAAAAAAAAAAGTTTTGTTTGAATTAAATAAATTGAATTTATTTGTATTTGTTATATTTTTTTTTGGAATTCCTTTAATAATTTAAAATAAAATGTTTTCCATATTATTCAAAACAAGAGATATTTTGCTTTTTATAAAATTTTGTAGTCTTTTAAAATAAAAATGGGGGAAAAAAAAAAACAGTTTGGAACATTTTAAGGGTAGTTGTGTTGGCATTTTAAACTTAAATAAAAATACGTTTACCTTATGCTCTTTAATATTGAGTATCGTAAGTTGTTCAACCAAAAGCTAAAGTAAAACTTTTCCCCTTTTATTGATCGAAAAAGTAAACAAATACACATCAGAGAAAAGCAAGATGGTTTTT